AATTATCGTTTCTTATATTGTTATCACTGGGAAACATTTACAAACGTGCGGTTAGCTTTAAAGTCAGTTTATCTGTGTAGATGTGTCGACCTGTTTTTAGAAATAATAGGGTTTTTTAACTCAATTGTCATAGAACTTCACATCCTTTGAATGAATCACTTTTACCGAAAAGTCATTGTGTATGTCATCAACATTTCCTTTAGAAACGGACACCAGTGGTGCACCTAAATGTTCGCGATGCCAACTCACAGATTCCCTACGTCACCCAAGCTGGTAGAAGGTAGCGCATGCTCATCGAGTGCACACGGGGTTGTATACTAAATAGTCAGTCAATCAGTTGGCATTCTTGTCTATACGATATGAAGACATGTCTGTAACCGGTCGATTATTTAATAGAAAGCATCCAAATAACGGCTTTAATTATCGTATTGTAACCTTTTTTTTTAACTCTGAGGTGGTAAATTGTTCGTATTTTTGACTATGCTCTTGACAACTTAAGTATAATAATATATTTTATCCACATGTCGTAAGTTTATCATTCTGCATCATGTTAATTAATACCGGTTGTTGTTGTGGGCCTATGATTATATAAATTCATTTGTTAAACAGCTCATGAACAATATGTATCCAGAATCCATTTCGAAGCGAGGTGAGGCTTTTGCTAAGTATATACAGTTATAAAAAAAATATGATAAATAAAATGTTAGTTTATATGCACTTGATATTTTTTTATGTTTCTCATGATATCATATAGTTAATATCTGTGTCACAATTATATTGGTAACGCCAGGAAGATCGTTTTTGCAAATTTCATAACTTTTAACGATCAATCCCTCTATTTGTTGACAAAGACTAGCCCAAGAGTAAACTTGTTGTGGCAATAAATCTCGACAGTTTCTTAATACATTTCAGGTTACTAACTACAGTTATAATTATATATATAACAGTCCAAACCGAGCTTTTAAGTTTGAGGTTAATTTGTTTTCAGGATTTTCAAAGATCGGTAATGTTTCTGTAGGTAGTCTGTCAATACTCAGCACAGTAAGTGAGGACCAATCTCCACATGATCATTATTCCCAGTGAGGGTCATCATGACTTCTGTCTTGTTAAGTCCAAACCTCTTGTAGTCGCATACTCATCTTGACAACAGTCTGTAATTTTTTCTTTATTAAACAATACTTAATTGATCTTTTTACTACGTAGACTAATTTGCCTCGTTCCACTAATGCTTGCGTATAGTTTTTTTTTTTAGTTCCTTAAGCCTAATCTAAGCTTTTAAACACACTTCTATGACATTACAAATGAATGTGTGTGCGTGTAAAGTATTGTTTAAACAACGTGTCTATTGTTGCAACATTAGTCATTTGCAAAGTTGTTGTACGAGACAAATAAATGAGAATACAGTAAGTGTCTCAGTTCGTGTGTTTGTGTCAGTTTTCATATAAGGGTTATTGTTAGATCTCAAGAGGGAAGTGTGGGTATTTCTGGTCAGGAAAAAAATTAGCCTGTGCCACACAACCTCTGACAGATAAGGTTTCTAAATTCCACATTATGGTTGAGCTTATTATTGCCTGAAGCTTTAAGTGTAAAGGTTTGTTGGTGGGCTTTTGAAGAATTAATATGTTCTTTGTATGATTGTCTTGGACCGAACCAGAGAAATTCTCCTGTTTTTTATGAATATTTTTTGCTTAAAGCAAGCATTGTTATATTTGAATGTGCCTTTTGTATTGTTATTAGCTAGCAGAATTGAGTGAATAAAATAAGCTGTATTAATTACTGAAAGAAGAGACTGTGGTATGGTATTTCGTAACTTAGCGTTGTTCAGTGTTTACACTATAAAACAAGATGCTATCCAGTTCGGTAGTGTACCATGGGAATAACTTTTGGTGAAAGGAAAGGTACTGTGGCAAAATAAAGTCTAGAATTTATATTTACAAAACACCGTAGAGCCGAGTTCAACACCCGTATTTGTATATAAGAGTGTCAAACAATGAGATTGTTATGTACTTTGGAAAGGTACTTTTGAAATAATTCACAAAAAAAGAAGATCCGTTGATGATGTTTTGAGAAATCGTTGAAACTGAGGTGATTTAATTGAGTATATGTTTATATCATGTTTTCCCTATACGTAAAGCACGACGTTTTGTACAACGGAATTCGAACTTTAATTAATAGCATGGGTTTTCACACCATTGATATTCATTAGCCGAACGCTAGATAACGTATATCAACAGGCGAAGCTTAACAGCTAACTGCGTGCTCTCTGCTCTAATCAAGTCATAAAATTGCCTGTGCTTCAAACGATAGTTAGAACTATTGTTTCATTTTGTTTGCCTTGCTATCAAGTATCTCTCAATTAGCCATACGAAACGTTTTTTGTTGTAAATGATGAATGCGTTGTATGTACTGCTCACTGATACAGATAATCGTTATAGACACATTGTGTAACTAGATTAGTGATCGAGTATATAATTATCAAACAAAAATTCGTCGTTTTATTAAACTTCCTGTGGCTTATATAAACAGATGTTATAATGTATATTTGTTTACATGGTGGTCCAAAAGTTAGTCGTTCCACATTTAATTTCATCTTTGTTGGTAACGCGTATTTGCAACATCAAAACTCATTGGCTATTTGCTGGTCGGTATCTTTAGATACTGTTAACATATGCTCGTGTGTTAAACTGAAAAATTATACTGCTTTTGGGTGTAATTGTTGGCGTACCATTCTTTAAAATATTTTGTGTCGTTTGAAACATCCACACAAGGCACAACTTTTACATGCGCCCAATCTATGAGTGAAGTAACAATATACTTTTGTGTCATATGTTTCAGCACAGATCATTATAGGTAGCAGATAATCGCATCTGCAAGAAATTGTTATGTAATATATATCATCAAGGAGTGATACGTAGATCAGCAAACAACTAAAAAAAACTGTCTTAAACACTGGCCAAACATGATCACAGAATTGAATTATCTTAAAAGTGTGCCCTTTTCATAGTATTTATCAGGCAAGTTCGTTAGAAGGTGGTATTCTAAATTAGGATATTTAAGTATAGAGTACTGTTTAATTATGTGTATGTGGATTTGCTCTCTTACATACATGGATGATTATAGTTACTGGTATTTTCAACCAGAACTGAACCTTATGCATGAGCCTAATGACCAGGTCAGAAACTCCAAGATGCGGGCACAACCATCCCTAATTTAAAACTGCAGAACAGAATGATTGTTATCGGTCATCAACACCATCCCTTATACAACTATTGACTATCATAGCTCAAAGTTGTAGATCCCATTCAGTGGCGTATCGCAATTCGAACCTTAGATCTTCCGATTTCCAGCCCTGGTATGCTTATCAGTAGGCGATGATTACAGATAGTATTTAGATGGTCATTCATCAAACTAGTATAGCTTTATTTGTACTTACGGACGATTTTAACTCGTTCACTTAACATTTTTCTCTCTCACTTCCGTTCCATTTATCATCCACAGAAGTGAAAGTTTTTTTTAACCACCATAGAGTTTAAGATTAATCCTTATGCATAAGGTCTGTCTGCTACGCTCGTTAGCTCTATTCCAAGGGGCCATATGGACGTACTTTGATTTTTAAAAAAATCACGCTGAACCCAATCATTTGTGGTTTGTAGGACTTTTCGTCAAGCCTCCAGTGTCACAGCGGTGTGTCTGCGGACTTACAATGCCAGAATCCGTGTTTCGATACCCGTGGTGGACAGAACACAGATAGCCCATTGTGTTGCTTTGTGCTTAACTTCAAAAGAAACAAACCTTTCGTCAATCAAATATAAAAGTTTATATCTTTTGTTAAATTTTCCCTTCTTCCTAGGAAAACCAAACGCCTGGCCGCGAATGGATTAAAGTGTTGATTTACATCTTGTTCAAATGCTACCTACCTATAGTTTATAATTGCGCTGTACTCGCCTAATTCAGGTATGCAGAACTCATAAAACCCAGTAATCAAACTTCTGTGAAATGTCTTCTTTTTTTTTCAGGATCTGTTTCGTACTATTCAATATTTTTGCTGCATGAATTATTTCCTAATGTTTCCGCGACAAAAAATAAAAGAGGAAAAACGAAATTCTTCTCTATACATCATAGTTTTGTGTGTGTATTTGCGTGAGTCAGGTGTGTTGTCTCTCTCGTCATTTTATCGAAGGGAAACGGGACATAACTTTTCTTACCGGAAATGTTTCGATCTACACTTCATTTTACCTTAAGGCAGGATTGCGCAGGTTTCTACACCCGTAATCTGGTTTTTAACTTTTAGAATCTCTCAATTGCAATTCTTGTTGGAAGTGCGAAATTAGTGTTTTAACAATATAAATTTTAAAGTCCTGTGGAGTTAAGAATTTATCCGAAGAAGTCGATTTGTTAACCCTCTTATGAGCTTATTGTGGTAGATAGTGTTTTACGCATCAAAAATGTACGAGTGTACTTATCATGTGCCAGGTTGCAGAATAGGAGGTCAAAAGATCGAGCTTCGACTTAGAGTAGTTGCATAGAGCCCCCACCCAGTGGCACAGCGGTATGTCTGCGGACTTGCAATGCAGTAAACCGGGTTTCGATACCCGTGGTGGGCAGAGAACAACTAACCCATTGTGTAGCTTTGTGCTTAAACTACATAACAAATAAACAAACAAACAGCATAGAGGGTGCTGCTGTCTGATTAGTAGCTATAAATTAGGAGGAATGGCTATTTCATAACGTGTCTGATCTGACTGCTTATGTGCAGTCAGATCAGGTTGTTAAGGTCCAAAAACCAAATATATATTCATTATAGTTGTGTGTGTGAATCTGCGGAAAAGACCATTTTCAGGACTGAACAGATTTAGTTTCTCGAATGGGCTACAGTATAACAAACATGCAACTCCTTCATCACTTCTAGTGAATTTTGAGAGTTTCTCTGGAGGTTAAGAGTAACTGACACTCAACAATGTGACATTTATCATACTTGTTTTCTCCTGGTGTTGTTCCAGATTGATTATCCGGACGTCCAGCTGATGCGGCCTGGTCAGCGACAGTCCTGTACTACCATGAACCTGGAAAAACTACTCGCTCTCGAACAGGACGAGGTATCTGTGGAACCTCGTCCTCATCGATTACACATGGACGGCACTGACGTAGTAGATCACCGGCCTCACCATCACATACAGGTATTACTTTATATAACCGTATATTGTAATGTTTAGATCAACGGCCTCACCATCACATACAGGTATTACTTTATATAACCGTATATTGTAATGTTTAGATCACCGGCCTCACCATCACATACAGGTATTACTTTATATAACCGTATATTGTAATGTTTAGATCACCAGCCTCACCAGCACCTACAGGTATTACTTTATATAACCGTATATTGTAATGCTTAGATCACCAGCCTCACCATCACCTACATATTACTTTATATAACCGTATATTGTAATGCTTAGATCACCAGCCTCACCATCACATACAGGTATTACTTTGTATAACCATATTTTGTAATGTTTAGATCACCAGCCTCACCATCACCTACAGGTGTTACTTTATATAACCGTATATTGTAATGCTTAGATCACCAGCCTCACCAGCACCTACATGTATTACTTTATATAACCGTATATTGTAATGCTTAGATCACCAGCCTCACCAGCACCTACAGGTATTACTTTATATAACCGTATATTGTAATGCTTAGATCACCAGCCTCACCATCACCTACAGGTATTACTTTATATAACGTGTATTGCAATGCTCTCTGTCTCATTTTTAATTTATCATTGATTGCAAATAATGCTGCAGTAAACTGGGATGGACATTTTATATCATTCCTGTCTTCAAGATGAACAAATTTTACCTTTTTAATTCTCATGGTCATTCACGTATTTCTGAAAAAGAAGAAAAACTAATGCATACGTAATGACATAGTAATTAATAACCAGTGCTGTAATTTATTACATAAATTTAAACTTCATGTTTCTTCCTAATATATTTTAAAGTGTATATTCGACTTGCTATACTTGAAGAATATTTCGTACGTTTGCATCGAATGTGCTGTATTCTTGTGTACTGGGTATTTCTTCGGGAAAAAAATCAATGAAGCTCTTGCCAATGTTTAAAATTAAATTATTGTAGTACAAGAAATATTTGAAGATTACAGCCTGAAGTTTATTTATTTTATCGTGTACGCAGTATATATTTTACAAGCTCTTTTTATTTTATCGTAGATAAATTTAAATCGGTCTTATATTCAGGATGTAATATCTATATGTTGTCATATGCAAAATTCTGTTGTTCAATATTATTTTTGATGTTAATATGAATAAGGTGAAGTAACTAAAATACGTAATAACTAGGAATGATAACTTTAAAATGTGAAGTGATGGAATTAAAGTTTATCTCAGGTAAGTTTGTTTGCTCTATATGCTTAAACTGTGATTCATTACAACTAAAACTGATAGTTTCTTGCAAACCTGTGTTTCCTTATGATGTGTTTATAAGTTAGATTTACAAAAGCGAGAGCGAAGAAGTGTTTACATATACACACTCATGTGCCAGTCAGAATGTATAGGCACATATATATACTTAATTTTATTTTAACGGTTAGCTATTGACACATGATGGATTACTAAGTGTTTACGTCACTTTTTTTTTTCCACAAACAATAAAAGTTTTATGTTCGGTAGTTTTTGTAAGACAGAAATATTTGTTTACCTTTCTCCTTGTTACAACAGAAACATTTTGTTCACTTCTCTGTGGCAAGACAAACTTGTTCCGTTCACTTCACTTTGTTTTTGCTTCTTTTGAAAATAAGCCACAAATTGACAGAAAATGATTATTCCGATTATGTCCCTGTTAGTTGAGTTTTACTATTCATTCCAGGCTTATCTCATGCTAGCTATAAAAAAAACAGTCCGAGAGAATAAAATTGACATTAATGTACAATTTACATTTTTACTTGAAAAAACTAGGTAAACTGCTACCCAATAAGTATATGGATAATGATACTTCATGAAATATTTATTCAATTAAATGTATTGTTACGTCTCTGCTTGTTTGTTAATTTTCGGTATAAATTCTTTCCGAGGAACTTCAGCTATACAAATCCCTTCTTGATTAAAACTAGTTTATTCTTTCTCATACAACTTTGTAATATACAGTATTTTCACAATCAATACGTTTCTCGTCTCTTTATTTAACAACTCCTACAATACACGCTATAAATAACAGCGATTCACAAGCTCGATAACTTCGCTCTATGCGACGACTGAAAAACACACACAGTTTACGGCTCAACGTCACTACTGTTCGGTTGACTCAATTATTTATATCTCCTCCATCCCGCTGGATTTTCTCACCAGGCTTATATACTAAAAAGAGGGCGTCTCAAATGAACTCGGGCCTTCATGATCATTCGAGAAATTTCAGCGCAAGTGCTCCCAACGTCATGCGACTTCCGCTGTCTTAACAGTATGGATTGAAAAAGCTGTTATATTGGTGAGACAAACAGATAGCTTTGTAATCATTTGCGGGAACATTTAAAATCTCCATCTCTTGTTTTTGGACACGTCTAAGAGCAATCATTATTTTTATTCTTCTCGGGTAAAAATACTCAGCAGAGAAGACAACATTAATAGACAAAAACTAAGAAGCTCTATTAATAACACAAAAAAAACATAACTATTCTTAACAAAGGAGTTCATTTATATCTATTTTAATCACTCCATTCTCTTTTATACACAGACGAATTTTAAGACTTAGACTCAGGCATAAAAGTTTTATTATTATACTTAAATTTGACAATTCGTTGATATATTTCTGTATTGTTTGCAGTTGGTTAATCGTATGCTTGTAGATTACTATTGTTACAGATTCTCACACTATTCTTTTTTAAATTAAACTCTGTTAGCCTCAGTTCATGAATGCCACCTGATGATGCCAGTTAACCTGGTGAAACGTTGTGAATAAAATAAACAAAAGGTTTACTATGTACAACCGATAAAAACTTGTATGAATTAAAAATAAAAAATATAGTTCTTTGTAATATTTGATTCACTTTGTTACAGTTCTTCTCAGGCTTTTTGTTATAGAAGAAACACTTCTGGTTCAGCTTTCTTTGGTTCAGGAAGAACACTTCTCTTTCAGCTTTCTTTGGTACAGAAGGAACACTTCTCTTTCAGCTTTCTTTGGTTCAGAAAGACCACTTCTTATTTTGTTCCTTTTGCTGCAAGGGGAAATTTTTTCTTTTTCGAATTTTTATTGTAATAAAATAAACACTTTTCTGTTTCTTCTTATTTCGTAATTGGGTTTGTGTGAAAATACCATTTTTCAGAGGGCTGTTACTTGAGCACTAATACACACACACATATATATATATATATTTACATCTATATAATTACATCTAATATATAGTAAACTGATTTTAAGCTCAGGAGTCTTTTATGGCAAAAAATTTATGGTAATTAGAAATATGTATTGTATGTATATTTCCATAAAGATATATAAGCCTTGAATAATATATCATCTTTAGGAAATTTCACAACGAAATTCAAATGATGCCTCCATACTGTGAATATGTATATGATAATAACATTTTCCTAGATTTAAAACGAACAGGCAAGATTTCCAACAAATCGCGTGAGCCTGTGGGGTGCACATTTATAAAGATATGTCGGCGTTCGACAACTGGCTATTTTACATGTTTTTATAAAATGTGAATTCTGAAGCTCTGAAAGCTGTGAACATTTCGAAAATATTCTGTATAAGACATCCCTGATGTAAAAGTAGATTTGTTGCAATTATTTCAAAATTTTAAGACACTAATTATGTTGGTTATATATATTTATATATATATATATATAAACTTAATAAAACGATCTCGGACAAAACTGTACGTGTTGATCTAAGAAAAAAAAAGAGTTAAAAGTGCGATGTTTGTTGCCAGTAGCTGTATACAGAATTGCCTGAAGAAAATATTTAAACTAGACGCTCGAGAGAAGTTGGACGTTTCCCAGAAATCTGGTCACCACCAAGCGTGCTAAGTTTAGTGTATTTCACTGTTTGTCATACACCCTGTGGGTCTGTACTGTGTCCCCTGTCACGTGGAAACTGGCAGCATGCGCATTTTTCCGTGTGGTAACTTGGCAACCTTGATTTTGTACACATATATATATGTTAGTCACATGAAATAAGGAATTGTTATACTTCTATTATCATGTCCGTGAAGAGTGTTTAATATTACGGGTCATGGTAAAATGGGAAGAAAAAATATTTTAGGGAGCTTGCAATCTATTTCTACTTTGCAATTAAGATGGAAATTACTAATACACACGTTCAAGTAACTATAAATGTTATTAAGTAAAAGTGGGGTTATTACTTGCAATTAATTGCTTTATCAGCATACAGAATTAATAAATATATAACATTGTTACACCACTTTGATATATTGTATCCAATTATACATATATGTGTATAATGAAACAAAATAGAAAGGTTAAAAAATATTAGGCGTTTTATTATTATTAATTTAAAAGGAATAACTAAGAATAGATACAAATACACATAAATAAAACAATTATCTTCCAGAATACTCCTCAGTTTCTGAAATAAGACAGTTTTTGATAATACCTTTAAAACAATCCTAAACTTACCATGTGTGTATACGAGCACACGTATATTATTGGAACCAGTTGTTTAGACCCTATAAAAGAACTGTCATCAGGTTTAATAAACAATGATAAAATTACAAGGTTTAGAATTTAGAAACAATAATACTGAATTAATAGTTTCGTTTTGAGTTTACTTACTGATCAAGTATACTTTATTACAAGTTACAATTTTTCAGTAAGTAAGATTTGTATTTAGAATAGGTACCTATTCTAAATATGAATGTTACTTACTATAAAAGCTGTAGCTTGTAATAAAATAATACTGAATGTTTATAGAACAGCATGTCAAGAATAATGTGCATGATTTTCTTGAAACAATACTTCTATGACAGTTGAAAGAAAAATACAAATTGAAAAAGAATTTCATAAACAAGAATAGAAGTTTTTTGGATAAATTAAGAGAGAAAAATAAGCTTATTACGGTTGAATAATACCACATTCCAATCAGAGCTTTTATATTACTTATATTGTAAAACATTTAGAATTTGAACTGGTTTTGTACTGTTATAAATGAGTTGTCTAAGGGTGAGTTCTAATTTATAAAAAATATCTCGTGACTTGGTTCACAATTATCTGTGATTGTGTGTGTCAATTCACCTCAAATGAATATGAACCGGTATCCTGCACCAGCAAATATAGCCTAAGCAGTGAATTCTTCATGACATTTTCCTTCAAAAACTCAACCAGCTTTCTTCTAAATATATATATTTTATATTATTCACTAAATATTTTTGACAGTTTATCATGAGTTTTCTACATTCATTATAAATACAAAATTACAGATTAGGATAGATCATTGTAAGATTGAACCTTAATTTTCACTTGTACACCTGTATAGAGAGTTGTCTACAAACCTTCAAGATGCTTTATAAAACGAAAATGATATATTCTGCAGCTAGAAATTGTTGAACTGTTTGAAATTCATAATTATTCTATGTTAAGTTATTTCAAAATTAATAATAAGTTACTTTTTTTCCATGGAAGTATGTAGTTTACATGATGCCGGTACTTAATGTGTTTATTGTTTTTCCAGAGCTTACCAAGATTATATTCTATTTTTACATTATTTGAATGTGAGAGATTTGATTTTCTTATATAAACAAAACTTCTTTTTTACCTCAAACATTGTTAACTTGTGTGAAAAAAAATTCCCCTACTCACAGTTATCTGAATATCAGCCAGTGCAAACCATGTTACACAGAGGTGAAAATTTGCTCAAATCCAACCGAAGCTCCCATGGCAGTGATACTTCTTCAGCCTATTCAGGATCTGATACCATGCAATCAGTGCAGTCCTCACTGGAGGACCAGGAAGTGGACCTTTCTGGCCTTATGGAGAGTGCTGTGGATTCTGATGATGAGGAGGATCTGGCTGAGTTAATTGATGTTAGTATATTTATTCTACTGAATGGACCTAATATCTTTGCTCAAACTTCATTGGGTATAATTATATATAATGTTTACGAAAGCATATGTAGTAATTTTTCACTGCCTGACAGACTGGAACTTTATTCAGTTTTATGTGTCTGTACATAATATGTATATAACATTGTTTCCATGAAATTATAAAAAAAACTACTTTTGAAATAAGGCTATTACTAATGTTATATCTTCAGAAAAATAGAGAAAAAAAAGTGGTATTTTAATTACAATGTATGGTGTTCAGAAGTTAAATGGAAATGTATTGTAAATTTTCCCTAATGACAGGAAACTGATCAAGATATTTATTTTTCCACTCCTACTCACATTAAAGTTGCATGACACTAAAAGTTGTTTTTATTCTTGTAAAATACTTTTACTGATTGTATCATTCTTGATTAGATCACATTTTGTGAGGTTTTGTAAGCTGCTTCAATAGCCTTTTATTCCAGGATTTAAATTAAACTGCAATATTTGTTTGTCACTGCAGTTGTTTTCTATTTAATTTTACTATGAAGGCTTGGTAACATTTCAAACCTTCTGTGACCCCAAAACTTGTATTGTCTTTAACTAAACCTAAACTGCTAAGTGTTTAGTGAAGAAAATCTTTAAAGACTGCCTGTTTAACACCGTCAGGAGAGAGTGATTTTCCTTACAATCAAGCACAGTTACATTCCCTCATGGTAATTAGCACATTCGTATTCTGTACTAATGTATCTAAGATTTCAAAGGGTAGGTTTTCAGTGAGATTTTACTTTTAACTGCATACAATAAATCTACCGGTAGGTATTTAATTAAAGCTTAAACAAAAATGTTGATTGATCAATGAGAATGTACTTTTGGAGCAATAAAATCATGAACATTTTTTGGTAGACAGATTCATAACAATTTCATGAAACAAGAACATTAAGCCTATTTTTGCAACATGCATCATTCCCTCTATTGTTTGTGTATGTAGTATTAAGATAAAGTAAATTAAAACTAATATACTCGCTAGGAAGCTGACTCATAGAGCATGCCTTGTGAAAAGAATATTTATCTTTCCCTGTAGGGTATAATAGTTTCATGAATAATGCAGTGAAGTACTCAGTTTCCAAGACCAATTATTACTGCTAGTTAATTACAGACAATTATAGACAAAAATGTGTGTGTCTCTCTCTCTCTTTGTATATACATATATTTATGTGTGTGTGTATGTAGATTTTCTTTTTGTCAGATTAACTTAAACTGTTTTTGATTTGAATTTTTTGTAGAGCCTCACTGTGAGAGACACTGTGCGAGAATGTCTTGAGAAGGACTCTTCAGAAAGGACAGATGATGATATTGAAGTTTTGTTGGAGCTCATGCAACACTTACCGGTTAGTTTTATTTGTCAAGGTTAATTTGCTATTTTATTAAACAGCTAGAAATAAAACCTTTAAATGTGATTTGTGCTCAGTAATCTAATATTAACTTCTGTAAATGTATGCAAAAACCTTCTTTATAATGCTATTTTTTAATAAATGGAAAATCCAGGTTTATTCAGTATTACTTTGTGTTTTTATATATTTATATATTCTAATATAATAATTGTAAGTTCTTTTTATTTTTAAAAACAAAGATAAACTAATGTGTTTACATTAATTTATCATAAAAAATACTGCTTCAAAAAAGAAAGTCAGGTTAAACCTTTTATACTTAAATTGCAAGAACTGTCACACCTAGAATCAGATACTAAACTTATCCACTTGACTGTTTACTCTAGTGTAAAAGAAAATTTTAAGAAAGTATGTTAACTCAATTATGCAAGTTTATATAATAGTTCTGTCTTCCATTTGGGCTTTAAAGTAATCAACATATACGTTGAAGTCATGGAAACCTAAGATTATGTATTCAACCTTTTTATGAAGCATTGGAAAAATATGAAACATAAGAATATTTTTGTTAAACAGGCTTTTGCTAACATGACTTTAGCAGTAAGAAGAGCATTATGTGCAGTAATGGTTTTTGCTGTTGTCGAAAAAGCTGGGACAGTTGTGATGAATGATGGAGAGGAACTCGATTCCTGGTCCGTCATTGTTAATGGGCAAGTGGAAGTTGAACTTCCAGATGGGAACATTCAGGAGTTGCATTTTGGAGACAGGTAGATACCAAAGAAAACAGTGAGGAATTATATGCTTTGAATTTTAACAGAGATTAATTACTATCTGAGAAAAACAGAAAACAATTAAGAACCATTTGTAAGTGTTCACAAAGATTGATTTTTGAGGAAGACATAAAATTAAGAAATATTACTAGAGATTAATTACTTGCTAAGAAAAATTAGAAATCAATAAAAAATCATTTGTTTTGACAAAACTTGAAAAAACTAAATACTTTTTTCCAGTTGTATTATTCAAATTCAAGGAAAACCTTCAGTTTCAACTTTTATTTATTTATTATAGTTTTGGGATAACTGCCACAACAGAGAAAATGTATCATCAGGGAACAATGCGCACCAAAGTGGATGACTGTCAGTTTGTTTGTATTGCTCAGAGTGATTACCACAAAATTCTCCATCAGGGAGAAGAAAACACTAAAAAACACGAAGAAGACGGTCAAGTTATCCTTGTAACAGAACGGAGGATCTTGGATGGAGGAAGTCGTCAGGGTCACGTGGTCATTAGGGTAGGTATATGGGAAATTTGTAAGACTGTCGGATTTATTAGAAATTTAATGTTAGCCAGGGAAGAGTTTTCAAAATTGAAACAAAACCCCAAAAAAGTTTTTAAAAAGTCATATTTCATGTTTAAAAAATTAGTAGTTAAACAAAACAATAACATGATACACAATTTATATATTGGTGTCTTGCACTTGACTAATAAAATTTTTTTGATAATGTGCAGAAAAAGTGAGGAAAAAAATCATTAATTGAAATATGCAAATTAACATACAAGTATATCTTATAGGAGAAAGTATCATAGCTTTCACCTACACTGAAAGTGACAAAATTATCCATGTCATTGTTAAGCATAATTTTATTGATTTATGCTTGAAAGCTTTTATAATAACAGTTTTACCACTTGAAGTGAGCTGTGTTAATCACAGTAAAGTGTTTGTGTCATTATATTTGTTTATATCTTTCTTTCTTTTTTATCTTCGTGTATTAGGTACTATATACAATATCATAATTTCAATCATTTATTAGTCAGCGGAAATCCTTATTGTTGTTGTTGTCAGTTCTTTCGTGGTGTTCATGCAAATAAAACCATAAGCTCCAATGTCAGTTGTTTCAAAAAAAAGAATATGACAACCGTAGATTTCAATTTTGTGTACAAAACAGTTTTCTTCCCTATATTATTAATAAAGTAATTGCTTCATTAAAAAATAAGCCACAAATTGACACAGAAACTGATTTTTCCAAATATGTCCCTGTTACTTGTGTTTTACCATTCATCCCAGACTTCTCTAATGCTATCAAAAAATAAGGTTAAAAACAGTTGGAGAGAATAAAATTGACATTAAAGTACAATTTACATTTTTACTTGGAAAAACTAGGTAAACTGCTATCCAATAAGTATATGGATAATGATACTTCATGAAATATTTATTCAATTAAATGTATGGATTGATAGCTGTTATATAGTTTAGACAAACAGATAGCTTTGTAATCATTTGCGGGAACATTTAAAATCTCCATCTCTTGTTTTTGAACACGTCCAAGAGCAATCATTATTTTTATTCTTCTCAGGTAGAAATCCTCAGCAGAGAAGACAACATTAATTGACAAAAAATACGAAGCTCTATTAATAATACAAAAAACATAACTCTATTCTTAACAAATACAAAGGAGTTCATTTATATCTATTTTAATCACTCCCTTCTCTCTTGTTTGTAAAAACAATTTAAATATGTAGACTCAGAACTAAAATCTTTACTTATCTATTCAAAATTTTGACAGTTCATTGATAAATTACTTTATTAAGTTTACAATTGCTTAATTACATGCTTGTGGATTAGTATTGTTATAGCTTCTCATGTGATTCCTCATTTTTAAAATTGATTTCTCTTAGCCTCAGTTCTTGTATCTCACCTGATGATGCCAAGGTAAGCCTGGTGAAAAGTCATGAACAAAATAAACTCAAGTTTTACTAGGTATAACCTATAAAAACTTGTATGAATTTTAAAATATTTGGAGTCACTGAAAGTGATTGTTTAATTGTTGCAGAAAACAAAATAAAGACAAGGAGATTTTAATGAACCTAAAATATGTTGAATATGTGCATCATGCACTTGACAACAACCAACCTGCCTGAGTGATCAAGTCACAACAACTGTGCTATGAATAAAAGAATAACAAAAGTCAGATGTAACTATGCTTTACTAACCATTTTGTACAACAATATTAAAAGCTTAAAGTTTTCAAAAAGATCTGACGTTAGGTAGTAGAATAACATTATTAGTTTATTTATTGATAGTATTACAGTTACAATCCATTTGTATTATTCTAGAAATCTTGTATTTAAAGAAGTATTATTGCAATAAAGATACTAACTTGACCACAGATGTTTTGGGGGTCTTTGCTAGTTACAGTAAATATTACATTGAGTATAACAACAGAAAGATGTATGAGTTATCTGTTTTCATTTTTCTAAACACCATATTGTTACTACAAAATAATAATATTATTGAACTAGTCACAATAAATATCACATTAGTGCCACAGTTTTCAAACACATAAAATTTCTAATACACTAAAAAAGTAAAGAAATTTGCCCAGACAGAGCTTTATCTTTGGTGAACCAGTTAGAAAGGTATTATCCCCAGACACTAGTAAAAGTGAAGGTTCTGTGGTTCAATAACTGCTCATGGCAGATATATTCATTACTTTAGCAACCTTTGGCAGGTTAAAATCTATGATCCTCAAATCACAATAATGTTTTGAAATTGATTCTTTACCATCTGAACAGGCATAGTTCAGTCCTTAATCAAATAACTCCATGTCATAGCTGTCATAACTGTTCAAATAGAAAAAAAAATTTATTCAGGGGTCTACCATTCAATACTGTTTTAAGTAAACTGGAAATTTGAAATTTCATAAAAGTGAAAAACCTTAGCTGTTTTATTGAACAAAATAACTTGAATACTTAATTCTTGAGATTCAGTGTTTGAAATAACACTTTGAGTGAAACATGCAAGAGTGGGTTTTATGGTAAAGTTTACTTATCAGTATCTTGTGCTTCACTGAAAAGTGGAACAGATGGTTATGGAATAGGTTATTTAAACACCTTTAAATTGAAGTAAAAGTATTTAAAAATATATCATTTACATTATTTTAAAGAACTTGATTTTGTGTATATCTGCACACATGTATAAAGCATTCTAGATTATTAATATTATTATTATGATTTCATAAAACTTTAAACCTCTTGATTTTCGATTGTTATTGACTTATGCACATCATCTGAAATTCTCCGTTTCACCTTAAATTTATATTATAGGCAGCTAAATAAAGATTAGCCATATCTTGTACTGTTACAAGTATATCTGATTGCCTCACCCATAATCTGAAAGCAAGTATTTCTTGTTGGGATTGCACTGTAATTTTTGTATGGGCAACTAAATAAAAATTAGTTTTTCTTTATTTTGATATAGGGAACATCCGATAGTCTAATGGCTCAACTAGTGGAAGAAAATACTCTGGATCCCAGCTATGTAGAAGATTTCCTACTGACACATAGAACCTTTATTTCTTCTCCTCTGGTGGTTGCAAATAATCTTCTAACTTGGTTTAAAGACCATCAACTGCGAGACAAAGTGAGGCATTGTTTTACATTTTTGTATTCTTTACTAGTCTGTTATGATTAAATTTTTTCTGGTATGAAATAACAAATTATATATTTATATAATTATATATTTTATTTTGTAAGTCATTTTCCCCTAGATGGTTTCCCCTACGTAGCTTTATGTGAGTATAATGTTATAAACTTGTTATTTATATTTAATATTATGTTTTTAATTGTTTTGCTTATAATTTACCACTAACATTAACACTTTTTCAAAGTTTCTGTTTTCATATTCTGTAGAAGTTAAATAGCTAAACATTAAAATTACTTTGAAGATGAAAAAAATGATAATCCTTTTTCATATCTTCTATTTTAAGAAATATTGAAATTATTGCTAAGTTAATCTCCTTACAGAATTTTTATACAAAGGATACTTTGTCCACTGCCATTTAAATAGTGGTGTGTATTGGAATTGTTCTGATATTGGTAGGATATTTATACCAGTTAATCTTGCTAAATTTAGTGTCATCAAACTAAAGTGACATTATTTTTGAATAAATCTCAGGTGACTAGAGTTGTTCTCCTATGGATTAATTACCACTTCCCAGATTTTGAGATGGATGCAGATATGATGGAATTCCTTGAGAAGTTTGAATCTGTTCTTGAACAAGAGGTAATTCAAGACAAAATTGTTACTTTAGGATTTTATTAGTATCTTAACTTATAAATGTGTGTAGAAAGCTGTATAGCTAATAGTGCATTAAAGCAAATACCTTGTATTGAGTAAAATAATTTATTAAATAGCACGAGAGGTGCATAATATGTTTAATTATTTTTTTCAGAAAATGCAAAGTCAATTACGTTTACTTAATATTGCTTGTGCCACTAAGGCTCGTAGTAGGACAATCACTTTGGCTCGCTCTACACGGGATGATGTCCTTCACTTCTCTATTCTTGGTGGCTATGAGCGTGGATTTGGAATATTCATCTCTAAGGTTAACAAGGGCTCTAAAGCTGAAGATGTGGGTTTACGAAGAGGTGACCAGGTGACTATAAAGAATTTTACTAAGTTAGTTGTTGTTGTTGTTGAAGGATTGAATTATGTGAATATAGCTTAAGGTAAAACATCAGAAATATTTCTATTGATTCAATATTACTTTACTGAATTTGTTTTAAAGAACTTCACAGTTCAAATCCCCATCACACCAAAACATGCTCGCCCTTTCAGCCGTGAGGGCATTATAATGTGACGGTCAATCCCACTATTCGTGGGTAAAAGAGTAGCCCAAGAGTTGATGGTGGGTGATGATGACTAGCTGCTTTCCCTCTAGTCTTTCACTGCTAAATTAGGGAAGGCTAGCACAGATAGCCCTCATGTGGTTTTGTGCGAAATTCATAACAAACATAACTTAAAAACTTCCCCACCTGCTTTTTACAATAAGTGAAATAGTTATGGTTAAAAGGCTGAAAGCTGGCAAAGCATTAGAAACCAATAGACCTAAAATTTGTGGAAAACATCACATAAATGGGAAATGTTTAAAAACAATTGACAGTTTACATGATTTTGGGCCAAAGTGAAATAGTTGTGATTTGTTTTTTCATGCTATTCTTTAAAAAAGTATTTTATTTGAAAATAAAATTATTTCAGTTTGATTTAACATTTCTGTTTTTGGTTACAATTCAGATAAGAATTGTTTTTGAAAATAATTAAATGATTTGTAGATTCTTGAAGTCAATGGACAAAGTTTTGAACATGTTAGCCATGCTCGAGCTCTGGAAATCTTACGAGGGACAACACATCTTTCAATTACTGTTAGATCCAATCTTTTAGGTGAGATTGATTTGGTTTTATTCTATATCTTAGTTTTATTTGTAAAAGTCAATGATTTTAATTTCCTTACAATATTAGAAAATATTGACTAAAAATATTCATATTTTATCCAGATGTACTAATAGTTTGATGAAGAATGTATTTCAACAGTTCATTTTTTTGTAAATTGAGATGACTTATATTTCATATTTCATTTTAAATTTTTTACGAGAATCTTTTATGATATTTATTAAACTAAAATGAAATTGATAATGAATATAACCAGGAGTGAAATTCTCAAAAAAAATAGTAGAGGTACTCAGCTGTGTGAAATGGACCTGTTTTTGAAAAACAAAAAAATCTACATGTAAAAATATAAAAACGACAAATCAGCTCAACTGAGTCCAAGTTAAAAGATAAGTTTCAGTACCTGTGACTACTGGCAGAATTTAACTCCTGAATTTACCTAAGTTCCCAAGAGAAATTTGACATCTTTGAAGGCTGAACAACATTTTCTTTTCTCCTTTCAAGCTTTTAAAGAAATGCTCAATACACCTGAGAATTCCCCCCGCCAGCGAGGAAGAAAAGTTTCAGAAATTGCTCGTTTGCAGTCTGATCCTAGAGCTAGGTTATCTTCTCACTTTGACTGGGGAGATATCAAAGGAGAAATGGTTATTCCCTTAGAGCTGGGAGTGAGTGCATTACTCCAACCTCCAAATTCACCTCCACCCCAGTGTTTGAGAACTTCTTCTGGTCCTGTTGGTGATGGTAAACAAGAAAAAAAAGGCTTCAAGACTCTCAGTAACCGAGGAAAAATAAAAAAAGCACTTGCAAAAATGAATATCATACATAAATCTGGTAATAGGTGAGAAAATTATTTGCTCTCAAATGAAGTTAAATGAGTTCCTTTTCTTGATTTTGATATACATTACCTGTAACTAATTGCTGTATTTTGTGTATTTAGTTTGTCTAAATTTGTTTTATATTGCACATATATTCACATAAACTTTAGTTAAATATGATTGCTTTTAAGTACTTCTTTAGCCTTATCATTTGAATAACATCATTAATAAGTAATTTTAAAACATATGCAATTCTTAATTAAATTATATTGTTGATTTTCATAAGCTATTACTTTATTTTAGATGCTTTAAACTATTAAAGTGCAGTGTTTATTTTCCATTACAGTGAATCTCAACTGAACAGTTCAGATGATAGTTTATATTCCTTACGCAGTGGGAGCAGTAATGGTTCAACAAATCACCATAGGACAAGGGCAGTGTCTCCTAAACGATCTTCTGGAAGTGGCTCCCTTTATCATAGTCACAGCAACCCAGACCTTGCATCATTATCAGCTTATTATGAACCAGAGCTAAGGCCAGATTTTCCTGAGCATGTGCTTAAAGTGTACAGAGCAGATCAAACTTTCAAATATTTACTTATTCATAAGGTGTGTTTAGTAATGTATGTCTTTTTCATTTGTTTGTATACCTGTTCAGTAGATGTGCTTATTTTTTTGTGATGTTTTTAGTTATTTGTGTATTTGTTTATAATACATGTTCAGTGGTGCATAATTTTTGTTTTATGTACTCATTTGTATAGAATATTTTTTATTTATTTTTATACCTATTTCTAAGTTGTACTTATGTGTTAGTTAAGTCTTTTTTTATATGTATGTGTGTGCATATATGTATATCTGTCTATATTTACCCGTGCTAAAAGTATGCTTGTATAGTTTTAAATCTTTATCCACAGCTAGCTTTACAAAAGTACTGTATATCAAAACACACAAGAAAGCCATACTGTTATGGATTTTTTTTTTCAAATTTAGTACACTGAAATGATCTTTACAACCAACGATTAGGTGTCAAATCTGGTATAAATATAAGCCATGTGCAAAATTATTCAACAAAAACAGCTCAATTTTGACTTAAATTTTTGCACACATGAGCTATCTGTCTAAAAATTTTACTACAGCTTCACCTAAGAGTAAAAATGGACCATTTTAAGTCATTCAGATTAAAGGCTATAAGGTGAAAGCACATGCAAATACATAATTATTGGTTAGGCCAAACAAACTAGATTAGCAGTTTCTAGCTAAGGTTTTGAAAAGAATCGTACAGGTGGACGGTTAATATTCCTTAGTCGTTGCCAACTTTTAAGCACAAGTTTGCTAATTTATATGAAATTTTTCTAAGTAAAGAGTGTTTAGCATCACGTGATATTAACTAAAGCAATTAGCGTAAATAATGATGTTTGATACGATTCTACCAATTGCTTGCAGGTAATGACAAGAAACTGTTAATCTAGATTCCGTGGTATTACTATAAAGGAAGTTATTAACACTGTTTTAGATAGTAAAAACTACCACCATATATTTTAAAGAATCTGGTTGGTTCTGTAAATTATAGGTCTGTTCATGTTAATAGGGTTGCCATCCTAAAGCTAATGTTAGTTACTATCGAGTGTAACTTTCACACTTGCTGTGGTTTGTTGGTGTGTATTGATAAAAAGTCATAATATCTAACCAAAAACACCTGGGGTGTGAAAAAAAAAGATACAGCTATAAAAAGGATTGAGCATGCAACTTAAAGGAATGAAATAAAAATTGGTGGCCATACTTATAGCATTGATAAGAATTTGTAAGAAATTGAATTTTGTTTTATCCACCATTATACCCCAAGTTGAACAAAAAAACACAGCCTGGCTAACTAATAAACGAATATTTGTTGTAATATTCTTATCAGTGATATTCGTCTAGCTACCAATTTGGCCACCAATTTTTGATTTCATTAATTTAAGTCTCACCCTCAATCATTTATTGGCTGCACCTTTTCTTCACACCTAATGTGTTTTTGATTAGATGTTATATGCATTAATCTTTCTCATTAAGCACTGGTGAAATTATCTAAATGAAATACATTTTAGCATCAGACTTTAGATACAAGTAATAAAAAAACAAAATCTGTTCTTCGAAGATTATCATTATCGTTTATAACTTATTAACATGATCCATTTGGGGGTTAAAAGTTTATAATTGTCTTTTAAGTAATGTGTCAAAACTTATGCTAGACTTCATTTCTCTTTTGTAATTGAATATTAGCATTTTTACAGAAGTTTAATTATTACCTTTTTCTACTGGTTACTTGAAGTTTCATTTTCATAAAAGTAATTTATATAAATGAAGAGAGAATTTGTTAAAAAGGTTACAACTTAGGTTTTGAAAAGGATGGAGATTTAGTATTTGATGTCACTAGTTATTAATACCTACAGGTGCAATATGTAACCCATTAATTAATCTTATTATACACAGGAGACTACTGCCAGAGAGGTAGTAATGTTATCGCTCCGGGAGTTTGGCATTACTGACCCAAGCAGGTAAGCAGAAGATTCATATTTCGTGTATAATTCAATGTTAATGGTCTGAGCAGATAAGCAAAGTGGTTTATATTTCAAGTAAGGTATGGTTTTACTAGCCCAAGCTGGTAAGAAATATGTTTATATTTTAGGTAAAGTTTGGCATCATTCAATTGATGAAACTAGAAATAGGTTTATATTTAAGATAAAATAAGGTATTACTGACCCAAGAAAGTAAGAAATAGGTTTATACATCAAGTAAAGTTCAGTTTTACTGAGAAATGGATCTGTATTCCAGATTAATTTTAGTATTACTGATCTGAGAAAGTAAGAAATAGGTTTATACATCAAGTAAAGTTCAGTTTTACTGATACAAGGAGGTAAGAAATGTTTAATTTTAGTATTACTGATCTGAGAAAGTACAATATAGGTTTATATTTTAAGTGAGGTTTTTTATTTATTTACAATGCTAAAACTAAGCTTTGTTTTTCCTTAAACTTTTTCTCTATTGCCTGTGTTAATTATGCTTAACAACTTTATGAAGAATAGGAATAAACTTTTTAACTAAACAAAAATAAGCTTGTTTGTGCATTCAACCACTTTTTTCTGTAATCTCTAGTAGTTTTGGAATTAGAATGTTTAAATTTTATTCATCTGCAAAAAATCTTCAGTGTACTGGTTACTGAAACATTGTTGTAGTAGAACTCTAAATTGGTTAATATGACCATATAGCATTCAGATTTCATAGTTTGGTTGACCACAAAGATGATGCCTTGCAAGAAAAGCACATTCTCAAATTAACAACAATGGTTTTGTAAAAGGAACATGGAACAAGTTAAGATTATAACTATTAATGTGCCTAATGAGTACAATGCATGCATTCACCATTAAATAAACTATTAATAAACTTTTAAATTTTTTCATCAAAATTTTCTTAAAGTACAAGTAAATGCTTAGATTTGAAAAGACATTTAGAAACTATTTCAAATTTTTTTTGTTTTACACACTATTTTTAATTAAATAAATGTATTTTTGACAAAATGGAGCCCTTTTTTTTTTCATTAATTATGTAAGGATTAAAGTTAGCAGATAAAATAATCATTATCCCATCATGGTTTTTCTTGTTAGTTAATGTTCCAACATAAAGGTTTTTATCTTGATGGCTCCCCTAGCAAATACTCTTTGTGTGAGGTGACTTGTGGAGAAGGAGGTGTCATAAAACAAAGAAGACTACCTGATCAGATGCACAATTTGGCAGAGCGCATTGGTCTTAGCAGTCGTTACTACTTAAAGAACAACTCCTCAACCGAAGCTCTAGTACCTGATGATTTAGCAGGGGTGAGTTATAGTTAATGCATTGATGTGTGTGCATGATTTATTTTTCATTGCAACTTAATGATAATGATTTCACCTTTGCATATAGAACCCTTGGAATGTATCATAAAATGAATAGCTATTGTGACAGGCATTACCTTTGAGTATGAATGATTGTTTTACAGTGAAAAAATATGTTTATGATTATCATGCTCTATGATATAAAATTAATGCTATTGCTAATAAACATCTTCTAGCTTATCCGATAAGACATTAATATGTATAATTTTCCAGATAACATAGTTGTTGTTATCTGTTGGACTTCTTTCACTAACAAGTTCTTAGAATTACTAATATAGTTTTTTCCTGTTGACATTGTGGTTGCCTGACCTGCTCTGGGAACAGTAAGACTAGCTTTCTGGATTTCCAGTCCTTGTGAATGATATTAAAGTTAATTTAAATAGAGATAATAAAATAGATAAATAATATTGTGTTATTAGTTCTTACTTGAAAAATCTGATTTGTAAATGACTTATATATAAAGATAATTAACAGTTGTTTATGAAAATTGATGATATATATATATATTGCACCTAGACTGCTACTATGTCTTTCTTACCTCAGCCATCTTGATGAGCCCTGACACTGGACAAAAGAATTTGTCGGCACTGGATATGGCAGATGTAGTGTGATTGACATATTATCCTTTCCTTTCACTCATTTCTTAGAATTTCAACAAGTTTCTTCTGGGATTGATGGGCAGCTAATACAATTTTTAAGTAACAATATCTAATAATTTAAAATTTATGGCAATTTCATTTCTTTTTGAGTTCTTAGCTTTCATAAAGACCTCCTTACAATGATAATATTATAACATTACACTATACAACACTGTTATTTTCCAGTATTGGAATAGACCTCTTATTCAATATTTTCTGAGTGTTTCATAGTTTAATTGATTTAGACTAGAATACATTCAATAGTTATTTGGTGTGTACAACTGTAGGAACTCCTCCGAGAGAGTCAAGTTCACTTCCTCCAGTTAAACAGTGTGGAAATAGCCACCCAGCTTACTTTGGAAGACTTCAGCATCTTCTGCCAAATTGAACCCACAGAATATATTGATGACTTGTTTGATATCAAATCCAGATATGGAACGCCAAAGCTTTCAAAGTTTGGCGAGGTAATTAATACAAATCATGTATTAAATGCACTGTTGTATAGTTTTATATTTCTACAATCCTTTCTAAAGGTATAATAATTATTCATGTCCTTTTGCACTTTTATGTGTGATTTATTTTTTCTGATAGCACACATATCTATTTTTGTTGCTCTTACAGAATAATCTGTTCTCAATAAAGCATAAAGCATGAGCCATGTAACTTGAATATTAGGATACAGTTTTACGGGTTTTAACTATTTAGAAATGACAGTGGATATTGTTGCCCTCCTTACAATGAGGACAAAAAGTATATGAATTAGGGATCTTAAAATGTGGACAAGTAAAACCAATCATTAGACTTTAGGCAATGGATGATAATGATCAATTGTGATATTGTAAAAGCTGTTAACTTTAATACAGTTCCATGAAACTTCCTAAACTGATAGAACCTTGTGAAGTTTACAGCTTAAAATATTGTTAACAGAGAGAGTTCCTAACTGATGAAACAAAGCATTTTGATCTTTATAAGAACAGTATATTTAATTAGCTGCATTCATTACCAGGTTTATTTTTATTTTCATATAGTAGATAACTAGCTATGTTTTTTAAAAGGATTTTAATATGTTTGTTTAAGTTAGCAGTTGATTTTTTTACAATCATTTTCCTGAACCACTTTTCACAGCTGGTCAACAGAGAGATGTTTTGGGTAGTGACTGAAGTATGTAGTGAACCAAACCACTTGCGAAGGATGAAGATTATAAAACAGTTCATCAAAGTAGCAAGTAGGTTTTAATCAGTATGTAGGAAGTCAGGTTTCAGTAACCTTGCCCATGTATGCATGAGTTAAAATATACTTTATGACAACTCTAGTGTTATAGCATTTCTAATCTTTTGTTTCTAAATTTTTAAATGTATTAGCAACCTTATGTATAATGTAACAAAACCAAGTTCAGTATTCTGTACAACATTTTATTTTGAAGTATTCAGATTTTCATAACAATGAAAAAACCTTTGATAATGTAGTTGTGATAAGCTCCAAAAAAAGTTAAACCATGTTATAGTGCTATTTTAGTTGAGAATTCAAAAAATAAAAAATTGTTGCCACAAGGTAAGAATAATTTGAAAATGAAATATGCTTTTTTCTGCCTCCATAGGACAGTGTAAGGAATGTAAAAACTTCAATTCTATGTTTGCTATCCTGAGTGGACTTGATCATGGAGCAGTATCCAGACTGAGGAGTGCATGGGAGAAACTGCCATCTAAGTATTCCAAAATGTTTAAGGTAAGGATAAAGGTATAAGCAGTATGCATCTGTTTTAACTTAGTATCCAAAGAAACTCTGTAATTTTTCTACTTTTGTGCCTCCCAAGTATCAAGAATGTTAAAGCTAAAGATATAATTATTAAAAATCAGAACCTTAAATGAAGACTACAATTATCCCGTTCACTCAAGTTTCTCAATTTTTCTTCGGTTTTAGGATCTGAGTGACCTCATGGACCCATCTCGAAATATGTGTAAATACAGAACACTAATCAGCAGTGAACATACTCATCCTCCTATGGTGAGTAGAAATAAAGAAACAAATATTATTAAGCATAAAGTTTATGTGAATAATAAAATTATTTCTAAACAGTTCCGGTCTTAGCATAAGACTTTCTTCCTTACCTGTTTGCTTAGTTTTGATTCTTCAGAATATGAATTGTCAAGTTTATGTTGAATCATTCTGGAATGATCAGCTTTCTTGTGCAAATATTATAGTAAGAAAATGAATTGTAAGTGATGTTTGTTTTGTCTATTTGGCATATGTATTATTGAGATTAGTCCAAAAGGGTTTTAATAAGACTTTCTATGTTTTTGTAATTTGAAAAAAAAAACAAGGATTGACTTTATGGATAGTGATCTTAAATTATAGTTTTGTACACATCTTGTTTCTCTAACATTGTATTTAAGAATGTACTTTTAAGAAATGAAAAAAATTGTACAGCTTTTTGTTGATGTTACCTGTGATGAATTTTTAGATACCATTTTATCCTGTCGTGAAAAAGGATCTCACGTTCATCCATCTAGGCAACGACACAAAGGTGGAAGGTCTAGTAAGTGAACACTTTAGTGTGAATAATTTTTGAAGTTCACAAAAAACTAATTATTTATCTTTACTCTCTGTACCAGCCTAGTGTGTACTTCTTTATGAATTTAAAATTTTTGTCCCACCGATGAAGTTAAAAGAACATTTCATCAAGAACCAAACATTATAGTTTAAAAAAAGAAAAAAAAACTAGATTTTTATATAAGTTTGCTTCAAAATAAGATGGAAAAAAATACAGAAAATTATAGAAAAGGAAGAGTTAACTTGTGCAATCATTTTAAATTTATTTTTTATAAGTGTAATAAGTAAAGTTTACTTGTTTCAGGTTAACTTTGAAAAATTGAGAATGGTGGCCAAAGAAGTGCGACAACTCCTTAACATGTGTTCAGCTCCGTATGTAAGTCTTGATCTTTTTTTTTTCACAATAAATATGTATAAATAGGTATAATAACTTCATGAAATTTGAAATAAATATTTAATTTGTAAAAAGATAGTTTTTATATATATATTTTCATACTGTTTATCCAAGCACTGAAGTAAAGTAGACACAATAAAGTATTGTGATTTTTAGCCTTAGCAACATATACCTGTTCAGTTTGATTGATAGAAAAAGTTAATTTAGTTCTATCTAATTAGTTTTAAAACCAACAAAGGTTTTACACAAACTAATTAAAAATATTGAACTGTATATACAACTTACTATTTTTATTTTTGCCTATTATAGCAGTTAGAAACTTTAGATTAATCTGACTGTACATCTAAGTTTCCACTTTTTAAGCTATGAATTATCATCATGTTTTATTTTAAATGTTTATTGTTTAGACACTGACAGTTTATTTTTAATTTACTTTTAGAGAACATTGTATATAATATCACATTTGCTACTGATTTCATTAAATATTTTCACATATAGGCATACTTGAACAAAAACTGAAAACCTCAATTTTTTCTTGGTTTTGGTCAGTAACTTAGTGAATGCCATTCAGTACTTTAAGTGCTGACTGCACTAGTAGCAACAGTATAGTTTTTGTTGTGTGGAAGAAACTACACAAATGTATGTTTCATAAAACTGATTCAAAAGCAATACCATTATTCAAATTGTTCCAACTTTCCCTTGCAGGACCTTTTTAACATGCTGGAGTTAGGAGGAGCCAATCCTTCCTCTGCTATGGCTTCTTTGAACAGCTTTGCCACAACTACTAATGCTGCAACTGTAAAGAGAAGAAAAAAGAGCACCCCACAACCTCATCCAAAGAAGATGTTTGAAGAAGTGAGTTTGACTATCATTAAACTAAGAATAAAAAACTTGAGAATATAATAAGAGAAATATTGGATAAATGGACCCATGTTCAAATTCTTATAGAAGAGTATGATGTCATTAAAAAAATTAAATATTCAGTGATAATTTAGTTGAAAATATTTTTAAGCAAGCATTTTTGTACCACATTTTATTGTGTAAGCAGGTGAATTTTGTTTCCTTTTCAGTCTTATGTAGTTATGATCTTTTTGCAATTATTTCTATTCCACCAATTTTTCTAAGGTTTAAAAACACTTTTCAAAAGTACATAAAGGATGTAATAAGAAAAACTTTTAAATAGTTATTGCTAAAATAATTATTAAAAATTTGTGAAGTAAGATTAGGAAATGTAGTAATAATAAGTTTGGAAACTTACAGTTACAATCTGTGATTAAATACTAATCGATCAGTATGTCAAATGTAAAGAATAGACAATCCTGAGATAGCAAGTGAATAATTATGCAGTAGTAAGAGGATCCTGTATCTTGAGATATTAAGTGAGTAATTATTTAGTCTTAATTTGCAATTGCTAAGGAAACAAATGAATGGTTTTATTTAGTTTCTACAAAAGTTTGATGTTGATGAAATAACAAGGAAATTTCTTTATTATTTTTTTCATCAGGCACAAATGGTGAGAAGAGTGAAAACATATTTAGCTAACCTTAAAGTTATCACTGATGAAGATTTGCTGAGAAGTATGTCTGTAGAATGTGAACCAATGACAGGAGCAGGTAGGGTGAAGATATAAAAAGAAACAGAACATTTCTGCTTATAAAAACTGTAAGAAATAAAGTAATTCGTGGGTGTAAGAAGAACAGGGTATTTAACTTATTCCTAAAACGTCTGGATTCCAATATATTTACAAGGGTCCAAAGATCTTACATTTTCTTTTTTGTGTTTGTGCAGGTTTCAGTGAATAACATTGTTCAGAATTTAACACCGATTTAATGTGGTTGATGCTTTCATTTACAGAATCAGCTGTTCTACACGTGATTGTCCCTTGATGGGACAGCATTAAGTTTACAGACTTATAACGTTAAAATCTGGGGTTCAATTCCACTTGGTGGACACAGCAGATAGTCCTATGTGGCTTTGCTCTAAAACAAACAAATCCACACATAGTTTTACTGTCTCCATATCTACATCAGTGGCTATTCAGCCAATGGTATAGGTTGAGCTGTACTGTTTTGGATAAACTATGGTAATGAGTCAGATGTATAGGTGCATTACCATATTTTCACTTAACTTTATTTGCATTATACACACTTGAAGCTTGAAATTATTTCACATCTGTGAGTTAAACTGCATATGATTCTTTTACAGTTAACAATTTTTACTTCTTTTAGTTGAATGTTCATAAGAAAGTTACAGCTTTTCATTGATCATATATACTGATTCCTTACCACTTTGTTAGATTTCTAGAAATTTGTACTTTTAATGACTGGTAAACATAAAAAATTGCATTATTACACAACTGCCACATGCCTTCAGTACTATAATTTCTTCCTGATTTGTTGGATAGGTGTCGCTAGTATCCAGCCTAGAAAACGAAACCCTTCACCGACCTTATCAACAGCCAGTAGTAACAGCAGTACATCAGAGGGAAAGAAATCCATAAACTCGGGAAGAAAATTTGGTAATATGATGTTTTTTATATTGTACAATATTCTATAATGACCCTTCCATTTAGCTTGTAACAAATTTGTTAACTAACAATGTTTTAATAATCAAACAAATTTAATTTGTGTTTACTTGTATTATATTAGGTCCAACATTTTTTTTATTTTTTGGACACACCTTAGTGCATGCTACAGTTGAAAACTTTTTTGTCATTTCAAATGAATTAACACTGCTGCTCCTTGTTTGTACATTTTGTATTGTATCTTTTTTTGTTGGGAAGTGAAAAGTTACATTTTAATAACTTTTTTTGAATGTTAATATAGGGTTGTGTTTTAGTTTGATTGCATGAGTACTGTGTATTTATTAAAACTAATTTGCTGTGTTTTACAGGTACAGAATCACCTCAGGCTGTAAGAAAAATGTTGGCTCTTTCCGATCATAGTAAACTTCGCCCCCATCAACCTAATAGACACTCCCATTCCCCTTCTCCTTCCCCAAATACAGCTCGACGATGGCAAGACAATGGCCATGGTCATGGTCGGTCTCATAGTGATACCCACAATCCTTCAATGCTTCCAGTAGACCTGTCAGCAGAGAGTTCTAGTGTGACCAGTCTAAATCAACTTCCACTGCGTAAATCACAGACTTCAGGTAGTAGTTGTGGCTTGAGTACATTTCACATAGATACTAGTTCTAAGCTTGCAATCCATTACATGAGTAATACCAATAACCTGAAACATCGGGATAATTCTAGAGAAGAGACTGTAAGACTTTTGTCAAAAGAAAACTTACATTCCGTAAACTCAAACCATTTCTTCCTCACCTTACGTAGAAAACCCCCTCCTAGTATAGTTGTAAGTTATGCAGATAGTACAGAACCTTTAAACTTCCCAACCCACACTGTGAGCTATGGTACCAATCTTTGGTCCAGCCTCTTAACTTCCAATTGTTTCCAGAAATCTTCTGCTCTTTTCCATCTTGTCAGCTGTTGTAAGCATCAGAGTTTCCCCATTCAAACTACAAAAGAATATTCAGGTAAAATTTAGGGCTCTCCTCCTCTCAATGAGTTCTGTACCACACACTTTGTAGCCTTTAACTTGGAATATTTTTATTTGTCAGAATTAATATGGATAAACACAATATTTATCTGCTTGTGTGCACTTCTTTTGGAAATACAACTGCATGAAAGATGTATTGTTTTATTGTTTGAAATTTCATCTCATTACACTTCACCAAGCTGTTTCTTCAATAGAACTTTTAATAGTATTAATGTTCTTAACTTTCCTAAACTCAAATAATTATTGTTTTTCATAGCTAGTAACTGCTTGCAAAAAAAAAGCGATTTAAAAGAGCATTCTTTTAGTACAAAAAAATTGATTTTATAGTATTGTTGTTTACCCAGTGTCATTCATGTGTTGGGGGAAGAAAATTTAAGGTTATTGTATAATTTACTGTATGCATTTTACTGTGGAACTCTTAATCAAAGTTGTTTTTTGGGTTTAATAATCGTTCATCCTTTAATATTAAGTGTTTAATGAATATATATGAAAATTCATAGATATGGGGTAACATGATTAACTTCTATATTAAATACTGTATTTCGTTTATTTGTACAAAAGCTGTAGGAGTTACAAAATTTATTTAGTGTTCATATTAGCACGTTACAGTTAAGATGAGGCAGAACCAAACACGTACATTCTCACAGGGTCAGTCACATCCACAGACAGTAGCAGTGGAGGAAGCTGCCGATGCCACCATGGTTATGAAGTGGATTCCGGTCATAATTCTGTTGGTTTTGACAGCCATAGCAATAGTTCCATTGGATCTGCTAACTCACCACCTCAACATCGGCGTTCTCATTATAGTAAGTAAAACAAGTAACTGGTCATTTTATTCTAATACTATTATTAGAAAAATAAGCTAGTTATGAGAATTTAAAAATTCTAATCAGACTAGTAGAGTGATGAGATGAGCAACCCAATAAGAAAAATGAATTCATCAAAGTTAGTTAAAAATGAGTGGTGGAGTAGTCATATCTATAAGTAATTCTTAAGAACATTAGTATTATATGTATATAATATCAATATGCACCTTAATTTAAGTACAGTGACAATTTCTAATTAAATGTAAATTTTATTGTAAGGACTTTTAATTTTTTTCACTCATGATACAGTGTCACACTCCTCCCCTCCTGTTATTAATCGGATGAGAACAAATGCACCATACATTCCTCATGGGATCCAGGTACTTCCGCCCATTCCTCCTGGGCCTACAGGCAAGTGTTGTACCCCCTTCTTTTTTTTTTACAATTATTATTATAATATTATTCACATAACAATTATAGCATACTTAACACAGTTTGCATTTATGTTCATCTGAACTCAGTTATAAATCTCACAGTAGAATACTTTATTTTGGCGGTATACATCATCAAATTTGAAAAAAAAAAGTAAGATTATAGTTAATTTACCTTTTCTTTTCTAACCATTAAGATGACTTTTTTCATTATTGGCTGTTCAACCAAATTATTCTTTCAATATTTTTTTTAGTTATGTATAAGTAGCCCATTAACTTTCTTTGTTAATATAAATAGTTTAGAGAACTTTTTTGATATCTAATTATTCAAATGTATAATGAGAATAAAGAGTTTCATTTACTGGATACATTTTTATGGTTGCATTAAACTTCAATTTGATTGGCGAAGAGAAAGAGTTGTGATAAAAAAAAATTTTTCAAATCATTCTTCGGGGGTTTCCAATTTGGATTTTAGAAGGTAATATTCCCGTTATATAAAAACTTGTGTTTTATGTCCGACACTAACGGATGAAGAAATTGTACATATCTACTAGTCCATGTACAGTCACTCTGATGTAACTATAGTAATTACAACATTGATTTTAGTATCATTAGAAACATAGTTTTCCCTATATTTTGCATTAAAAACAGATGTAAAAAGTTTATTCAATTCAGTTTCTGTGTACAAATTTAACTTATGTGGCCATGTGAGAGGTACAGTTTTCGAGTACCTGGGAACTTTAAAGAAAAAAGCCTGTTAAACTTGGCTCAAAAAGAGGGCCAAGCAATAAAGGACTAAAGCATAGTTCAGTAACAAACTGACTTGCATTGTAAGACATGTTCTCTTTTGTTAAATAAAAAATTTTGAATAAAAAAAACGTTTTTATATTGCTAGCTTTTCAACCAAAGTAAAAGAAAATAAAACTGAATGCATATACAAAGCAAGAAATTTGAAAAAATAAATGTTCTCTGTTTCACTTTTCAAATTATATATGGTTGGATGGTGTTGAAGAACATAAAGTTGGAAGGAATCAGTAAATAACAGCAATAATTTGAAATATTATCATTATGAAATATGTATTACAAGTCTCTTGTGTGTATGTGGTTTATATAACCTGAACTTTTATATTTTTGAAGGGCTAGAATACAATTTCTTATACAAGATCAAACTTCCCTCTAGTGGTAGGATATGGTCATGTAACATTCCATAACATTTCAAGCTAGGAAATGATTACTAGTGAATCATTTGACCTGACACACTAATTAACTTTGTTGAATGTTGTGAAGTGCTTTATTTTGTGTAAGTATAGAAAAAAAACGTTATATAATGTTTTTTCTCTACGAAAGGTCTTCCATCATCCTCAGTACTCATGCCTCCACCCCCTCCTCCACGGGATAGTCATCATTACCCTTTGATCCGTGCACGAAGGCCTTTAGACTACCCTCACCCATCTAAAGCAATGCCACGTGGGCGTCATATGGGTCAGTTAGCCAGAGCTCATAGTCATGATGGCATGACATCTGTAGGTTACTACAATGCTGATGCCACAGACCCTGATGAAGATGGTAAACTATTTCTTGTGTACTGTGTTAGCTAATAAAAGTTTACATAAAGGTTTAATCAAAAATAAAGTTTTAACAAATTACTGGTAAATTTCGTAATATTGTTTGATCATCGTTAAACTTAGTTTTAAGTACTGTTCATTTCATCTGCTAGACTGATATCAATTACTATGTTTTGAGAGTTTGATCCAGTCTGTACTTGTAACATAAATCTGCCAAGTTGTCTTTTTAAAATAACTAATGGGGAAGTCTGAAATCTGTACATAATGCATCATAATACAAGTACCAGAGAGTTATTATTATTATACTTTTTTTTTTTAGAAGATGAAGAGACTCAAGTATCAGCAGTGTAACTAGAATCTCACATGGTGGGCTTGTATGGCAGCAATTATCTCTATAACATGATTTGTATTGTAAATTGTAATTTGTTCTATAGAAGCTTGCTAGTCCATAAACATAATACTTCTAAATAAAGACTGTTAGTCAGGGAAGAAAGGATTGGTGAAGTATTCCAGCTACAGTTAATAGGTAAATCATACCTTCCATTTTTGGACAAGGAAAGAGTGTGGAATGAATGTAAAATACAACCTTGGTAGTGTGGTTCGTTGTTGTTGTTGTTACATGTAGATGGCTGGTGTATTTGGTGTTTGTATCTATTGTATATTGACCACAATTTGTGGTCACATTTTTATTTTTATTTTGTATATAAGTGTAATATGGAGGAGAACCATAATATGGACTTGCATGAAACCAAATATTGTGTTGACATGACCTTAACTTAAGGATTAGTGCTTTACAGAAAGGACTGAAGAAGTCAACTATTTTGAGATATTGTACATGTTAAACATTCTCTTTGTATGAAAGTGTATTCCTTTTATAAATAGCAACTTGTAAAAAGTTATTTTTACCCATTGTGCATAGGTCAGTTGGAGATAATTTTTAAAGAGAAATAGAAGCTATTTCATTTCATGCTTCAATAGTTTTTCTCCTTTTGTCTAATGTTTTAAGTTAAGTTAAACTAAACAATTTATGATTAAAATGTGATAATAAAACTTCGTAAGTAAAAATCCGTTAATTATTGGCAAGATAGATTAAGTCTGCAGAAATCAGTTTAATTATTATCCTTGTTGATGAAATTATGGAACACTTAAATAAATTCAATACCTAAAAGCAGTTTTGAGTGATAGAAGAATGTTTTAAATTCCCATGAGTTCTGGCTGTATATTATTGGTGTATATATATAGGTGAACAATATTAGACTACCCTCTATTCTAGATGTTCTCTATTTCAATAAATATACTGGAATAAAGATTAAGTTTATTTTAAATATTGTCAATCATTAACATTTAGTACAAAATGAGAATGTGAAAACAAGTATTTATATCAGTCTGTGAACTCATCAAGTTTTAAAAGTCCTACGTTACAGCAGTAGAATATATAGCCTGGTTTACACAAGTTGAATATGTAATAAAAAAAAAAAATTAAATGAAACCAGATTGTTGGTGTGTTTGTTTTTTTCGAAATGTAGAGTACATGAATTTCAATTCATCCTCATAGAAGAATGATAATCAAGTTTCATTGCCCAGATGATGTTCCTTTCTTAAGTCAGTCAACTATAGCCACAATATTTGGAAATATAATTAAACACATTTGTCTGCAGCATAGATAAAATATAAATAGCACAATGACAAATATAACCAACTTTACATTTATTATTGTTTGGAACATGCATTAGAACAATAAAATAAAGTAATGAAACAAAACCTTATCTGAATTTTTTAAAACTACTTTATACAACTTGTATAGGCTGTAATTAACACTTTGGAATGTCATGTTATTTATGCAAGTTGAGTAGAGAACTTAAACTCCTTAAATGTCAAACATTTATTTTGATTCTAACTCCAGGTTCTTGTGAAAAACATGCTAGATGTACAGATATTTCTGGGGAAAAATGTAAAATTTTATCTTTCAATGAAAAAGGTTACCAGTATTTTTAAACATATCACAGTAAGATCTTGAAATATAATCTCCAGTCATTAACTAAATTTATTTACATATACAAGCCCATACTGAAACTTCCCATAAATATAGCATAAAGTTACTCCTATTAAAAACTCATACAAGTTAACTGAATCCAACAGTTAGTTCTAGTAACAGCTCATTCAGTAGATTTTCAAGGAACAACATACAGAATACAGAACTCTCAAAAATAACTTTTTCCTAAACACTACATTTCTTAATTTTATATAAAAAACTAAACTCATATGAATTCTTAATATAATTTTGATAACTATGCCATGTAAATCAAAAAATTTGAAACAAGGTTGCTAAAAATGTGAATTCCTGATTTACGCCACAATTAATCACAGGAATCTCAGAATATTGCTTTCATATGGTTTTCAATGAAGCTCAATTATTTTGCTCCATCACTATATACCCTGCTATACAAAGTTCTGTAACCCATTTGTTAGACTTAGATTATTTCTCAATTACACTTTCAAATTTTTCTTCTGTTGCATAAGTCACCAACATCATAACTTATTCCATTGTTACTTCTCAAATGTGTAATGTAAGGGTTGCAAACAAAATTTGAAAATATTTATTTAGTAAGCCAGATGTTTTTTGTTGTGGTTTTTTTAACCAAAGCTCTTAACTGTCATGGCTGGTCACCAATGTTTATGTATTGGTCATGAGCTAAAGATAGTCCAAGAACCATTGGACTAAATAGAACATACAGTGCATAACCATAATTATTAGCTGTTTACGTACCAATCTCTTTCCTGAGCCTCTGCTTTGCAGTATTTGTTTTCATTATTAAGAATGCAAACTAAACTATGGATTACTTATTGAAATTACAATGAATTTACATTTAAAGCACTTAATATCATTAATGTTACTGACTGTTTAGCCATTACATGCACACACAAATACTTAAAATACCAATTCTTACACATTTATTATCTGTATTAACATTTTCTTAATCATATTTTATTTATACTACCAATGTTACAAAAGGTTTTACTATGTTAGAAATATCTTAATTATATTGAATTTAACCATAATTGTAACAGTAACATTTTGTATACGTTAATTATTACATTTGAGAATTTTTTAAATTCATACTGAACAATTCAAACCATCAGTGTGACAGTTTACTTTTATATAGGTGTTTTAACAAACTCCCCCCCCCCAATTCATATTCAATAACGATTATTAGATCTATTAACATGCTTTTATTCTTATACTTATTTACAATAACACTAACCCATTCATATTAAATATTTTATACTAAATTCATTGTTTTATAGTCATTATATATTAACAAAATTCTAAGCCTCTCATACTGATCAATTTTTGCTACCAATAATACAATATATTTCTTTGTAAACATATAACATGATATAATCCATTTCTATTGAACAGTTTAAACTACCAGTGTTAAAGTTATTTTCTATTATTAGCTATGTTAAATAAACTTGCTACATGTATATTCTTTACTTTGGACTAAAATCATTAGCAATAGTTGATGTCACTTAGTTGATAAAGTATTCTGTTTCTTTATATGTACAACTTCATACTGCTACTGTTCAATGATTTTTTTCATATTTGTATCTCATGGTACAGGCAGTGTATAATTACTAATTCAAACTTGAGAATTTAGTAAAAGAACTTTAGAGCTTCTTGTTATAACCTTTCAGTTGTTGTCACATGATATTTCTTACTTGAAACAAGAAGTTGTTTCAGCCATACACCTAAGGTTCCCACAACTACCATGTAGAAAAGAAAAATATATCCTTTTTTAAGTTGTATTTCCAGTCAAAATGTTTATGACACTTGTGGTATCTAAAGATGGCTCATATTAACTATTGAAAAATCAGAGAAATTTAGTGTGATTAATAAAGACTAAAGGACCATACATAATTCATGTTACAATCTATCCATTATTAACTGAACACAAACATGAAAATTGTTAATAAATAATTAATTTAAGTTTTAAGGTTTTCATAATCAAATTATATTTAAACCAACTTTAAATAACATATACCTATTTGTTTCAAGTAGACAGGTTTAAAAATTTACAAAAAAGCACAAACTTCATGATGTTTCACAGTATTAACAAACCTACACACAAATGGGTCATTGAAACAATATATTCACGACAAAAGAAAAAAAAACATTTACAAAACGAAACAGGTTATTTTATTATAAATAAAATAGCAATACTATATCTTTTATATAAGAACAATCACATAATTTCACTTTAATATTAAATAATCCCTCCCAGTCATACACAAGCTTAATTTTTATCCTAACAGGAAGTGCAGTATTTAAATAACCACGTGTTTCTATTTTTTTGTAGTAGGTATTATAAGAGTTATTCTAAATTTATTCGTGGTTCCAAATGTGTGCAGATTTCACATTATTACACATGTTAAGAAAACCAGTTAGTTGATCTTGTTCAAATTACCTTTTTTATTCTCGGAGTTGGTAATACCTGTTTTTACTCTTGGAGAACATTGCCTAATATGACCTTGTGTACGAATGTGGACAGTAGCATCCTTCAACAGTTGTTCAGGTGGCCCCACCTATGTGTAATGAGAATGACCAGTCATGTGGTAGCACATGGTGCTCTGAATAAATGAGCGTCTGGTCTAAAACATCAATGATGAAAGTCAGGTAAATGATCTTAACCCGACAAAACATCCAGTAAAAGTGATTGTCCAACATTTGTAAGTTAAACTGCAAGTACACGCACTGTGTTTTACACTTAATATTGTTCATTTTGTGTACAGTCTCATTATTCTACTTAAAATAATCTCAGTTAAGTAAGAGCTCTACTAACACTCTGTAATCCATATCTTAATCAAATGTATAGTTAATGAGCAGACCTATCCAGTAACAAACTTTTATTCAGTTTTACTGTTTATAACACAGTAATAACAAAGGTCTAAACAACACTACATATCTAACCTAAAACGTTGTTCTTCAGATGTAATAACAAAAAACTGCAAAAAGTGTTTATTCACAATTTCCTCATTGAAAAGCAAGTAATTACATGCATCAAAGCATTTTATGATCTACACATGAATCACCTTAATCAGGTATATTGTTTTTAATAGAAAGTAAGTTTGATGAATTGACTGCATGTTATACTGATAATGTCCATGTATGGACCCCAAAATGATCAGCATTATCAATAATATATTTAATAAGAAATACAAAAATAAAGCAATTTTTATACCTTCCATTCACATTTTACTTATTTCTTGACAACGGCTAGCTGTCTGGTGTAAAATCAATTGTTAGTTTAAGCTGAAATGGGCTTATGGTGTTCACTTGCAAATTTTTGTGTTGCCAAAATTTGCTTATTTCATGTATGGTTTAAAATCTTACTTTCAGAGATATGTTACACACATACATAGTCTATTAGATATTTACACTGTACTGTTTGCATGAGATATATTGAAATGTAATGCGACTTTAGTGGCATAAAGTAAGGGTTGTTTGTAAGGTATACTGTTAATCATCACTATAAACCTTTCAAGGTTTCTCACAGCTCTTTTTTTCAAAACAACTTCTTCAACAGACACATCAACATTTTTAAGACATCTTTATATACATATTTAAATCTTACACCCTCATGTAAACATATGATAAACTAAAATTTAAATACATTTATGCACATATACCTTTCAAGATAATTTGACAGTTTACACGAGAAACTGTAAAACTTAACATTAGCATATCCTGTACACTTTTATAGAGACCAAGCAGTCTAAAACTTATAAAAATGTGACACATCAAAATAGTTTTCACAGTAAAACACTACTTCTCTTAACCTTATACAATACCCATAAAAACAGATAATTTTTTAAACATATTTCTACAATATTCTACCTATTGAAAACACACATACTTTGATAAACCTGGCTCTCTTAACAAGTTGACACAAAAATTATGATTCCAAATTCTTTATTTTCATTTTTTATCTATATTTTGATCCCTAGTCTTTTTCATAACTCAGATTAATCTGAAAATATACAAAGATAATCAATTATTTCATGCAATTTTTTATTTTTCCAATACTTTTGCCCCCCTCCATTTTTATCTATTTCTCTCCCCATAACATTTTGTACCATTAATACAGATTTAATCTAAATAACATTCATATTAAAAATAAATACATAATACATTTGTTACAATAATAACCATCTAGTTGCCATTACTTATTGTGTTTTTCCTGTGTTTATTTTTACATATAAAATTACTTACATTAATGTAGTGTGTTGCCATATAAAGATCTGCAACAGTTTACTTTTAATTAGTATGTAAAAACTGCTGGTAACTTTGTATGAACACTTCACAGCATTTAAGACAAAGTTTTAACACATTTAACTAATTATATACATCCAATATGGTATTCCTTTACACTTTGAACAATCTCTCTCTCTCTCTCTGATCTGAATGTAAGTTAAAAAAAAATATTTCTCATGGTATATATAATGCCTTGTGCAGGTTAAATGTGATCTACTAATTGCTAGTTTGTGTGACTTTGTGAATCTATCCCACAAAGGAAGAGATTTCCCAAAGATTATCCATAAAACAGTGATATTTACAACAAAACTCACCTCAAAAATAAATTTATAGGCATCATGTCAAAACTTGTTTGTACACAAAGAAAAAAACCTTATTACATCTGAGAAAAGCAATTAATTCTAAATCACCAATATAATTATTATATGTACAAAAGTATTTCGTTTGTTAAGCAAGATACAATCATAATGAAATCTATATTCCAATGCAAGTTTACCATAAGAAACAAAATATCATGCTGATACTGATATTCACTAAACAATAACCAGTACTACATTTTCAGATAAATAGCCAACCCTACTTATTTTAACCTGAATAGCAAACATTTTGATCTTTATCAACAAATTTAAATTTTTGCAAAATTGTAAATAAATAACAACAAAACAATTGTTAAGATACTTACTACGGTTTAGTGCTAAGAAACATGAGGTGACCTGAAACACCGCCTTGGCCATTGTAATGGCCACTGGAACTGATTAGGTAACACACCATTCACATTTCGTTCAAAGTACAAAAATAATGAAAACCACCAAACATTAGATAAAAAGTTTGTTGACTCTTCATTCTGTTCGGATTCAGAAAAAAAAAATGTTCTTTCATAATACAAAAATGACTGAAATATTAGAAATATCTATATATACAAGAATGCAACAACTAACTACATATATAACAGTAATGCTCCAGCTAGATGTTTTTTTTTGGAGAGGCATTCTGCCTCAAATCAATTTCAGACCACCACTGTCCTGTTCTACATTTTTTTTTTGATAATCCATCCTTTGATATTTTGCCCATGACACCAATTATCATTTTATATACATGAATAGCTAATATCATAAAATTAGCATTTGTTTTTGTATTTATGCCAAAGCTATCAAGTTATCTGCTATTGTCAGTCAGTCAGCAGTACCTTACCACTCATGCTAAGGATTTGATTGTCACTCTTATAATGTATCCGGAGCTTAAAGTGCTCAATTATCTTACACTGAAAATGTATTTCTGATAGGTACTTACCTCTACTCTAAGCATTGCTAAAAAAACGTTTGCCACTGGCACACCTATCTTTATATTCCATCAGTTTCATGTCATTTCTGAACATGTATATATCATGTGACTACTCTCCACCAATAGTACTGCACCATCTATACTGGCATAGCTAGCTCCTTCTGCTATCCTCACTTTTGAGAATTGGCAGGTATTAACATAAAACCGACAGTTGGGAGGAAGGGTGAAAAGTGTGCGAGATGAGGTAAGTACCAATCAGAAATACATTTTCAGTTTAAGAAAATGTTACCTTCCAAAATGGTCTTACCTCCTTCACACAAAGCTAGAATCCCACATTACAAAAATGGAGGGGCCAGTTTAGGTGTACAAATATAAAAAAGTGGACAAGATTTTGCCTGATATTGTACTAGTGAAAAAACAGAATAACAACATGTGGGGCAGGAGGACCATTTGATCTAGACATGAAGACATTAAGTGATTAAGGAAATTGTCTGGAGCAGTCCACCCAGGCAAAAATGTCCAGGGGAAATGCAAGTAGCTAGAATCCAACATTGCAAAGGTGGAGGGGCCAACTTAGGCATACAAATATCAACAAAGTAGAAAGTAACTGCTGGGAATTAACGGGTGTGCTACAAAATGAAAATGAAGCACACCAGTAGGGTACCGCACTACTTTTGGAACAGGTATGCTCTTCACCCAGGAAACAGAAAAGTAACACAAAATGGGTGGAATGGAAGAAATAAAAACAAGCACAGTTGAATGCAGTAATAATACTTACAGTACTGGACAAGTGATGTACCAACAAACATATTTATAGTTTTTCACAGGATTGTGCCCAATATTGTACTATTTAGGAAATTGTCTAAAGTGGTCCACCTGGGTAAAAACATCCAGGTGAAACTCCAGAAGGTTTATTTGTTTTTGTCAATTGATGAAGTTATTCTGTCGAGTGAGGTCCATCTGGGCAAAACATACAGGGGAAACTCAAGTAAAGTCAGGTTGTGCAGATAATGTGCAATGAAATTCTTTTGGATGAAGGCCCAGTCAGGGTAGAGGATTACATAAGAGGAATGGTAAAAGGTGCAGGAAACAGTAATGGCATAAACATCCAAGCTCTGACAACCACAAGAAATGAGGAGGAAATAGGTGTTAAGGGAAAGATGGTACAAGGTATACATAGCAAAAAAGGTAGAAAGGAAGAACGAAAAAAGACTTATAGGACCACATTAAGATCCAAATCCTGTAAAACAAAAGAATGTGGAGGATGAAGTAATGGGGGGAGGAGAAATCCTTATGGAACTGAGAGAAACAGAGGTGTTCAACAGGGCAGCCTGATAACTAGATATAGTCAAAACAGACACATCCTGGTCAAACAACCAAGTGAAGAATTGGAAAAGATGAGGGACTGAAGGATGAAAGGAATAGTAGCCACAGCAAACAGTCAAGGATGAAGGTCTAATGGTTCAGGAAAGGAAAGATGCAACTTGAGGAGTCTGGTCCTGGGCTGATGCAATGGACCTGACAAAAGCCAAGCGTGAAGACGGAATTTGGTGATGTCAGGGTGAACAATGTCCTATCGAGGTTGATGGAGAATCAACCAAGACAGAGGTAAGGGCAGAGGATTTGCACAAGTAAAGGCCAAAGCAAATGGAACCATGGCTGAGCAGGGCAATATGAAGCAACAAGCAGGACTAGACAAGGAATGGTCTGGATGAGGGATAGAACTCTGGACAGGAGTCAGGTCGGAGGGTAAGCATAGATGTGAAATCCCCTCCAATCCTGACTGAACACACCTACTCCCAGAGCTGAGAAAGGTTTGGAATGTGTAATCAAAAGGGTTTGGGGTTCCAGTGAGTGACAAAGGCATTGATACGAGGTGTTTCCAGTTGAGAACACACCCACCAAAAAAACCTGTGGATGAAAGATAAACCTGTGGGGCAAGATAAATGATCGTCAGCTAAATTAACCCTATTGCCCCAGGTACCCTTTACTGTACATTACACAAGTTTTTAGTGTCTTACATTCAAATTTTTATTATAATACTTTTTGCTCATGTTATACCAATTAGAATAGCATAAAATCTTAGCTAATAATCCATATTTTAATAATATACAAGTTCTTAATTCTACAAGGCAATATTAAAAAAAAAATCTTGAATTTCCACTAGTGTGACCCACGTGACACATTTTCTCTTAGCATGTCATCATCCCTATTTTATCCATCACCCCTCGAAAATGTACGAAATTAAAAGTAAACTACTCTCTATAAAATAGTTATTGCTCAGACAAACCTCAATTTTTTTTATAGTCTTCAATTTTGTTTGGTTACAGAGCTATCAAATAGAAAATCAGACCCCTCCTGCCACACCCACCTGTCACATCCTCTCTTTTACAATTCATTGATATTTCTCTCATATTTCATCATATATTATTTATAACCAATAGAAAGTCAAGGTTTTCATCTAACAAATGACGTATAGTATCACATTCTATTCTGAACAGAATATCTTCAAATTCACTCACAGTACAAGATTCGTTCCTGTGGGAAAGTTAACAACTAGCTTGGATGAATTTGTAACAGGTCTTGTCGTATAGTCAGAGAGCTAGGAAAATTTTGAGAGGTAAGTGAACTTGTCTACTTTTTGCATGTTATTAGTCTATTCTTTGGTGCAATATTTAATTAAATAAAAATTATTAAGTGCATTACTATATAGTATAAGAAATTAGGGTTAACTATCTTCGAAACCCAACAGCAAGAAAAAAGATTAGGTAAGTACCTTATTTCTTGTTTTTCATAATAAACAAGATTACAGTACTTATGATATACAACATTGTTTATTAATAAAAAGGGGACATTGATAAACGTTTCGGAATTCTATCAGATTCCATCTTCAATTATCTAAAGCAAAATAAAATGAATTTACATAAGTCTTTGGATATTGCTAAAGTAAACATGCTAAATTTAACGATAATTAAACAAATAAAACACAAAACAGTAATCATGAGGAGAAATTACAGCAAGAAAACACAACGACAAAAAAAAAGTAAAATCAGTAACACGAACATATTAAAAAATGCATAGTTTAAATGAAGACTGCATGTAGTTCAGTGTTGGAGAATGCTGTTTGATGTGGAGGATTTCTTTAATCAATAATTCCATGTCAGTATTAGACTTGCTGAGAATAGAAAAATTTGATAGCACAGGTTGATGTCCTGTTTCTTCACTACATTGGCATATAGAGAAAACACAGGGTTACACAATTTTTTTGAGTTTTGATAGAAATTCCCATATGTTCATAGGCTCTGACTTTTAAATGACATTTGGAATGAGATAGGATAAAGAAAATAACAGATAAACTATAAAATTTTACTGAAAAAACGTTTGAAATGCATTTAGGAGGTTTTAGGGTTTAAACAAAGGAAATTTGAGATTTTTGAGATGAGGAAAAGTATTTTTAATTTTAACATGAAAATTACTTTGCATACGGACTATTCAAAACAAATACTCAATATATTCATGGACAAATCTCTATTTTAATAAAAATATTTCACTAAGAAATATGAGTTTTTGTATGTGAAAGACTTGTAATATTAACTGAAAGGCTGCCAAATTTCATGAAAATATACCCACTATATTGAGAGTTAAGTATTAAATCTATAAAGACTTTAAACGAGTACAAAAAGGTTACATGGTCTGTCAAATTGACTGAGCCCGTATTGAAAGTGTTAATAGCACCAGGAACATGACAAGCCAAGACCACCATGTGGTGATCGTGGGCCCAGAAAAGAAGATCCAGAATCCAAAAACAGAGACCAGAATTTGGTTCCACCTTTCTCTGCGAGATAACTGATGACAGTGTAATTGTCTGAGTGTATCATAACCACCCACCCCTTCAAGAGTGGAAGTAAATGGGTCAAAGACCAACAAACTGCTAAGAGCTTAAGTATCTTGATATGGAGGGCAGACTCCTCGAGCAACCACAGACTGGAAATCTCTTGTAAGTTGAGGAAAGCCCCCAACCCACCAAAGATGCATCCATGAACAGATGCAACTCTGGATGAGGTGGAGGAATGGGAGGAATTCAACCAGGACAGGTCTATGATTAGTCTCCAATTACCAGTCTTCTTGGAGACAATAAATAGACAGGAATAAAACCCTGGTTGAGTGGGCCACACCTGCTCGATAGCTCCTTTGTGCAGGAGGTCTAGAACAGCTTTGAAAAGGTGACTGAAAGAGGAAACATCCCATGGAGGAGAAAAGGAAATTGGAGAATGGGGATGGGTACTGGAATTGAAGGCAGAAACCATCCAACAGAACTTGTAGAACCTGTGAATCTATCATAAAATGCCACTACTCAACCAAAAAGTGGAGCAACCTGGCTCCCACTGGACCAGAAACCTCTGTTGTGTCACTGATAACACTAGCTTCTGGTCGTACAGGCGTGAGGAAAAGCGACGATAGAGACAGGAATGCCTGGAAGAAGGAAAGAGTCGGGATGTGGTAATAGGAAGGCAGGACACCAGGACATGAGAATCCCGGGAGGGAAGAGAAAGACAAGACAAATGTATAGCCAGGGAGGATAAGAGAAAATCTAACCTAGCCAAATCAATCTAGGATTCTAAGGAATCTGGATGACTTCCAAAAATGCTTTTACATAGAAATGGGACCCAACAGATATTCCGCAAGGAGGAAAGGGGAAGACGTACCCCTCAAATATTGCTTCCGTCCCTAACAAGTCCCAACAAATAAAAATGGTCAGATATTGAAAGAAAGGGCAAAGGCTAATAAATGAGGCATAGTGGCACATAGGAGGGTCCTGAGTTCATCCAAAAAGGCTTCTGGTGATTGGAAAAAGGCTATAGACATTACTTGGAGGGAGGAATGATAATGTAAAGAGAAGTCAGGGCAAGACGAATCCTGGAAACTGAGCTTGATTTAAGTGAACTGAAGCCCCAGGATTTGAGCCCCACAAGAGAATGAGAGGATTCAAATGCTGAGAATGCAAAGAAGGATTCGAGGCTCAATGGTAAGCCAAGGCATATTGGTCCAACAAACAAGGGAGATGGGGCATGCCTACACCTGACTGTAGTTGGTCAGAAAATCTCTGAGAAAGAACAATTATGTTGGGTGAAGGAGGAAAAATATGATAATCTGAAGGTGGAATTTCACTCAGTAAGGAAGGTGAGGAATCACAGGCCATAGAGGAAATATACAAAATATGATTAACCAGATGCAAGAAAGGAGTGGAAGGAAAAATCTCTTGACCAAGAAGAAGAAAGAAAAAAGGAAGTTGCCAGAAAAATAGAGTCAAAAGTTTCTTCATCTGGGTGGTAGTCTTCCTCGGAAACATGTTCAGGTGGAAAAGAAGTATAATTTGTCAACTCCAATCACATACCAAGGCTTGTACTTCTTGAACAGATAAAGTAGACTCTGCATTCTGGAAAATCGTGCCATGTGTGATGTCTCCTGTCATTTCATTGTCTGCCACACTAAACCTCAAATTCATATTATTTGAATGCTAAGTTGTATAAACAATTGAAATTCAAACACAAAAATCAATAAATTGGTGAATAAACTTTGTCCAAAATGGTAACAAATCACAAGCAAAAATCGTAGTCACATTTGAAAAGTTTAAGCACATGTCTAAACAAAGTTATACCAATCAAGAAAGTGAAAATTGAGCAGGAATAGCAGAGGAAGCTAGCTGCTCCAGTATAGCTGGCACAATACTATTGGTAGAGAGTAGTCACATGGTATATACATGTTCAGAAATTGTGCAAAACTGATAGGGTATAAAAACTAGTGAGCTGGCGGAAATTTGTTTTTTTCGCTATGCAAAGATCGAGATAGCTTTGTGTGAGAAAAAGGTAAGACTGTTTCAGAAATATTGTGATAAAGCATTGATTTAAATCTGGCTTGCCATCTCCCAAATCCAGAGCACTACCAGCTCCCCAAAAATGTGCAAAACTGGAATTTGTTCTAATGTAGAAATAAAAAGAAACTCGGAGTCCTTTGGTTGTAGCTGTTTCTTACCTTATACACTACGCATACATAAACTCAAGCCACAACGTTTCTCATCATATTAAAATGCAAATAAGTAAATAGAATTTTACAAAAGGGTTTGTTTGAAACCCAAATGACAAATGAAAGGAAACTCAGTTATTTTCATATTTATTTACTATTACAAGTGAAATTGTATTCATAAATAATTAATAATTGGCAGTAAAAATTAGAAAGGTGAATTAAAATCCTTGAGATTTCCACTCTCAACACAGTCATTTATTTCACATACAGAGTACGCCCTCATTCCTACCTTTTTCAATCCTATTTGGGGCATTGATATGTAACTTATCATAAAACAAAGTAAGAAAATAACCTGGTGAGAAGAACATACCAATTTTAAGATAAAACAAAAACATTTATAAAATACACTGATATGAAAGATTTATTACGTTTAACGTAAACTACAACATAATTCTTAGTGATTGAAGATACATTACTAGTCACAATGGTTTATGTATTTAAAATAACTTTACTAGTTTCTACGTAGGTTTTTTAAATTTTTTCCTTAAGATTACAACCTAGGTACCTAAAAGTACTACTCATACAACTACAGTTACAAAAAGACCTTGACTCTCCTATATGAAATTTTACTCAAATTTGAAATTGTACATCATAAAAATTACAAGCTAGTAATTTATAAAAATACTATAATATATATTTTAAATCAACTCATGCTATAACTATTAAGGTGATGTTCCTTGAAGAAAAACTTACTTTGAGAATTGGGTTGTTAGCTAGTGTATGGTATATCCAGAAGATTCTAGTAGTAACAAAGTAGGCTATGATAACATCCACAGTATAATGGCCACGAGATAGAAGCACCATAAAGATCCCTGTAACACTTGCTACCCACATTAGCCAGTGAATAAAACACCAACGTCGAGGAGTGTCTTTAGGAAGAAAAAAAGGCATAAATTAAACTTGCATGTTGCTACTATTGTTACTAGACAATTTCAAACATTAACTTTCCAAACAACTAGCACTCTAAAAAGTATTTGTGTGATAAATATTTGATCTTATAATCACATATATACAATTTCTATTGTTAATTGTTCAAGAAAACACTTAATACTTTAAAGACCAAAATCACAGTATTTAGAAATGTTCTTTTCTTTTATCACCTTATTAAAATTGTGCTAAAATTTAAAGTGCTATTATAGAAAATATGCTACAAGTTTCAACCTGACTCACACAAAGTAGAGCAAATACAATCTGTGGAACATATAAAATTATTTTTTCTATCCCTCATTCAAATGATAGGAAAATACAAGGTAGTCACAACATTTCATCCTCACCACCCAGTAAGATATGAATAGCCATGAAACACAAAGTCAATTACAAACCAGTCCAACTAGGCCAATGCTATAGGAGTCACAGAAAATATATTTCAAACCATAAGCATACACTAGATCCATAAAACAACACAGTGGAAAATCCCACGATAAATAAAAAAACAAATCACCTACATCTGGAGACAAACTAGCAGATATGATTGATTAATGTGACTCAGAATATCAGATGATATAGATGATACAAGAAATTAGCTTAAGAGCCCATTTATATATTAATTTATAATAATAATTATTATTATTATTATTATAATTTGCAATGCTGGTCATTTTATGTTGCTTATTTTATACTGATACAAGTGAAGCACAGAATATGACCTAGAAATGAAAGAAAGAAAGGAGTGAGAAATAGTTGGCAAGTGAGACACTACAGAATACATGTATTGGGGAGAAAAGAAGGAAGAAATGATAGGACAAAAGTCAATGGATGTAAATACATTGAATAATAAAGAAAGACATCCATCAACCCATCCAACAAAAAGGTTTTCACAAGAACACTAGTGGCTGTAAAGATACAGAAACAAGAAATTATCTAAACAACAACAACAAAAAGTTATTCACAATTAACTTTCTAGAGAATTAAACCAGAGGGCAACCACCAGAGGATCATAGAGTGAGATAGGTAAGAAGGTTGGACCTAACATGAGAAAAGAAAAAGCATATCCAAATATGCAAAGAAAAATAATGGAAAGAAACTTAAAGTCAGCATCTATTGTTATAAAACAGAGGGTGACAAAAACAAGGCACAGCATCTACTATATTTAATGAAGAAAACTTCAGTAGCAATAGAACCAAGACCCAACCAAAAAAACTAAAAACACAAGTGGCTCTGATCAATAAGTACTAGTCTTATAAGACGATGAGACTACAGTGTAAATAACAAAATATGTGCCAAATCTTATCTACTGAAAAGCACTTAAACAAACATACATTAAAAAAGATTTTACAAAGGATCTTCCTTTTTGCACCAAAAGGACAATCTTGAAACAGCCCTTCTTCTCTAGCAATTCTAAATGGATTCATAGAAAAAACAAGTAAAAAAAGTAAAGGGGAGGATGTACTTTTGGTTGTTGGTTTGAAAAACTCCTTTCCAAAATGCCATGATGAACCAGGGACAAAAGTTGATCTATTAGTCAGAAAAAGGAAGGCATATCCAGTAGATTATAGCAAATCTAAAGGAAGCTCAGGGTTCAAGTGTCTACCTTACAGGAAAATTGATGAATAGGAGAATTCTACACACATTCCTGTCCTAATAAGAGTATGGAATGTAAAAGTTTCTGCAACTAAATTGTCTGGTCACTTAATTATAACCACAGAACAGACCTTCCAAGTCTATTTGCGAAGGCTCACACCCATAATCCAAATTGACCAGCAGGAACATTGAAAATAAGAGAAACTTGAGACAATTGACACAACACCCACACAAAGAGGAAGGTATTACATGAAATGTCAATCAACCATTAGTCTGTACAGTGTTAGTGAAAGCAGTTACAAGAACGTCAATGTCCCAAAACTAACATTAGCGACAAAGGAATTAAGTGAGAATCTTACTATGTCACAACGGCTAAATGATGTGATTCTAGGCCAAGAGTAACTACCATGCAATAGAACATCAGAAGCATGTAAAGAAGGCTAAAAGATTTGATTCTAGACCAAGAGTAAATAACATGCTATAGAACATCAGATGTATATAAAGAAGTCTTTAAAGAGAGGGGCACATGACATGTTAAAAAGAAAACTGTGTGATAGGAAGTTTCCTACTCTCAATGAGAATAGAAGCCAATCAGAAACCTGATACAGCTAAAGCTTATAATGCTCATTTAATTAATAAAGAGAATTCTTACTAAGCAAATATAATTTGTGAGTAATGTGCATTTCCGGACAATTTTATATATAACATTCAGGATTCAATGACTTGTACTGCTTGTTACTTAAGCAAAATTAAATTTACCTTGACAAAAGAAAAACAAAATATTCATAGAATACACAGATTACATTATCCTTCATAAAAACCAATATTTATATGATACGTACTTACACGTGTATGTATCAATCTCACATACGTTTCAAATATTTTGAGCCCCACAGACCGTTTTCACACGAGCAAAGTTCTTGCAAATCCCAAACTAATTATTCCCAGCCTAAACAACTTTCAATTTCTTAAATAGATTAATAATTTTTTATTTTTTAATACATGTATAAAAATATGTCCACATCATTAGATACTGATGAATACATCAACAGGTAATCTGACAACTGCCCCTTATTACTGTTTCCCCTCTTTTTTAAATGAGACCAATGAATGTTTTACAATGAATGGTAATTGCTATGAAGGCAGCAGTTTTAGCCTGGTGTGATGAGTTATCTTGATGGATATCATGTGTTGAAGTTAGTGAAGTGCTATACTGCTTTTGCACTCCCCAAGTTAAAATGCAACATTTTGGCATGTAAATCATCACAACAACTTCAAGCATTGGTGAGCATTTCTGACGTCAGAATCAGAATAATCAGCAGAAATTTTAGCTGTTACTCTACTCACTGGATCTCTACTTTAATGATGTTTTTTGGTTAAACTGAAGGTCTTAATACTTTTTGAAAACCCCAAAAACCTAAGTTGGGGTTTATAACTCTTAGATTGTTATAAGAGAGACTTAAGAATATGATGATTAATAAATAATAATAAGCATCAGCCATTTATTTCCCAGCTCATCCCAACATACTAAGCACTACTATCTTTGTGATAACAACTAACAATAATGTACTCAACAGTGTTTGGTTTAAAAAGTTATGTTATAAATGAAAGCAAGGGCTTCCTCCTTGTACTGCTTTCAACTGTAGCAAGTGAACTATTTGTCTGATGCAGAGGTACCCATGTTAGGTGCAACCTTAAACATCACTTTGGTGATGTTTTATACTTGTTTTTGTTTTACTACAAATTAAACTAGTTCTTATCTTTGCTACTTAAATAAATTTTCCACAAGATAAAGGCAGCAAAGTTCACAAAACTGTTTGTTGAATATTAGTTATAATGTTTTTAATGCAAAATAATTTAAAGCAGTACAAAAAAAACAAAAACTATTAAGCTTATATTTGGTAAGCTATACTTACACTCATGCATTACAAGATACGCCATGGTTAATATAACAGTGTGCCCACTATAGATATAGTCTCCACAATATGTGTGTCGTCCATTAATGGAAAGTCCTAAACCACCAAGCATGTGAATTACCCGTCCCAGGATAAGCCCAGCAGAAGTTTTATTTACCTATAGTTGAAATAAATTCAAATATTACATTACTACATTACATTATTTACAATAAATTCCAAATCATTTCAGCAAACCATGTTTATTATACTGAGGTTGTTTGTATTTTTTCATATTACATCCAATTACAAATTCATAAACAAATTGAGGTTGTTAAATTTTTTTTAAAGTCTGAAATCATTCACATCCATGTTTAAAAAAGTTAATCATGTTTTGTCTTGGGGTACACTCAACTATTAATCATTTTGGAATGTCTTTATTATACTGAAATTTACCTTTAGTCTAAATACAAGATTGCAAATACTGTTAATGAGAACTCTTAGAAAAATAGAAATACATAAGCTCTTTATAAAAGTTGCCTCAACTCTAGTTATCAATTTAAAGGTCCTAATACTTGATCATAAATACTATATGAATTTTAAAACTGATGAACTGAACTACATTAACATGGTAAAGAACTTCAAGAGTGTTTGTTTGTTTTGAATATCATGCAAAACTACATGAGGGCTATCTGCACTAGCTGTCCCAATTTAGCAGTACAAGACTAGAGGGAAGGCAGCTAGTCACCACCACCAACTCTTAGGCTACTCTTTTACCAACAAATAGTGGGATTGACCGTCACATTATAATGCCCCATGACTAAAAGGGCGAGCATGTTTGGTGGGAGGGGACTCAAACCCATGACCCTCAGATTGCGAGTGGAGCACCCTGACCACCTGGCCATGCCAGACCACTTCAGAAGTGTATTGTTGAATATGAATATTCAAACAGCTGTTCAAAATGCTGTAAAAATACAAGTTAAAATACTAAAATTGTCTTCACCCACATGGTCAAACTCACAAGACAAATTGTCAGTATAGTACACTGAAAACCACAGCACTTATGACACACAGTACACAAAAAATTTCATGACACCTGAAGTACATTTAAAAAAATGTTTTTTTTTCTTTTTGTTCACCTGAATAATTTACTGTGCACGGAGTGGGCTAAATGGCTAGGGCAAAGACCCATGGATTCTCAGTCTGATAAGCTAATAAACATTAGTCCACATTCAGGTCTCTAAAACAGAACAATAGGTCTTTGTTTTTAGTATAATATTCATTTTAAAATGACAATTTCAATAGGCACAAGTATAAAAGGATAGAATTTTTACCCGTAAACAATGCTTTAATCATTTTGGGTCTGAAGAAAAAAAAAGCAGTAGCCCAAAACAGTCACCTAACAGTTTTAATGTCAATGTTTCACTATTTCTATTCTTGCTAAAGTGATTTCACTGATTTTCTTTTTTAAATTTTAATACATCAACATCTTTATAAACAAATTTATATATTTCATGATATAGCTATTTATCAAGATGAAGTGTGTAATGACTTACTATATCAATATGGTGCAGCTTAAGAAAGTACAAATAACACACACTTTATGAAATAACTATAAACCAAAATTACATGCACACTGGGGTATGCACACAACAAGGTCATTAGTTATGTAATTCAACATTGCAACTTGAGCTATGCATTTATTAGGCAATTTCTATATTATGTGGGTTTAGTACTTACACATGGTTCAAAGCAATGAAACAATAAAATTAAATAAATATAAATTGTTAGAAGCCTAACACTATTTAGGATAAATAGTTGTAATTTTCTATTACAAGTTGCAATTTTTAAAAAATAAATCTAAATTACCCTATATCTTTTTATGGTGATTAGAAGTATGGCCAAATGGACAGAGCTTTTAGTATTAGGGTAGAGAAAATAAAGGATAAAGTGTTAGTGAAAAACTTTTGCTATTTACTTAGAAGGTTCAAGAGGTTATGGAAATGAAATCTGAGAACTGTATAATGAAAAACAAAATTTAATCTCAACATGAAAATCACCTTGTACTTGGTCTAGTCTGAGTCACATTCTATGATAAATCTTTAGCAAAAATTATTTAAACATCAGATTTTTTGTGCACAATAGATTGGTAATGTTTAGTCAGAAAATTGAAAAAATTTGTGAAGATAAACTTACAACATTAAAAGTTACAGTACATATTGTTTCATGGTGATTGCAAGGCTGGTCAAAATGACCAAACCTGTATAGAAGATTAAAATGACAAAACTATAATCATGATAAATGAAAACAGCTTATTTAAGCATCATTGAAAAGTTTAGCTTTTCTTGCAGAATAGCGTGAAACAATCTCATTTATGATCTGAAAATGATATTGTTTTGGTGTAGAAAAGTTCTAAAAATGTATCCCCAGTACTAAGAGTGGAAACCCTCATATTGCAATACGGATAGTTATGTAGTTTAAATAAACATCTAGCCCACCTGTTGTGTTGTGACTATGTCACAGGTGGTCATGGTATCTGCAGTGACAACAAGAGCAAGCACAATCCAAAGAACCTCAGTGAAAGACTGGGGTTTAAATCACAATCTCACTCTGCCACATGCCTCATTCCCTTAAACTTTTCAGTACGACTTTTCTATTTAAAAAAGAAACTACATAGGTACATATAAATAACCTATGTGTACGATACATAAGGAATGCTTTTTACATTTTTGGAAATTGTTCCTGTGTACAGTTTCTGAAACTTGGATATGGGACATGTGTGTGTTCCAGTAAGCATTGTTATTGGATTACATGCTCCAGCAGCTATTAACAGAAACATGTTACATCAGTGGTTTCCAAACTGTGTGTTGCAACAAGTTACTAGGTGTGTTGTAAAGGTTTCAATAAAGAAAGAAAGAATAATTAAGAAGACAAAAAAAAAAAAATTTGCATGCAGCAACAGAGGTGTCAAGCAATTCAAGGTAAGCGAGCTAAGATATTGTGAAAGAAGTTTGGAAACCACTGTGTTACATACACATTCTGAGGTGAAAGTAAAAAACTTATGACATGTTCAAAATATTTTTATGGGATGTATGAATCCTATTAGTCCTGCACAAACATAAGCTGAGACAAATATAACCCAACAGTACAGAAAGAGTTAAAGGGGACTAAAATGACTGCTCACTCATGTAAAACTATACATTCTTATTAAAGTTTCAAAAAATAATGACATAACTAATTTAATACTATACTATAATGAAGTGGTAGCTCATGCTTATGGTACATTTTCAATAAGTATGACTATATCTAATGTCTAATCCAAAAATATACGAATCTAATTAAACATCAGGAGCTAATTATCTCACATCTGACTAAAACTATTGCTTGTCAGATCCCTACTAGTAAGACACTTTAATGCTAGTAAAAATAATTCACTAAGAAATAATAAAATGCAATCAATTATAACATAAAATAAATTATATTATGCCTTTTCAAATTATCAAAAATAAAGAATTAAAGTGCTTAGCAAAACTGGTTATATGGTGTGTGTGTGTGTGTGTGTACGTATATATGCAATAGATAATTTCATGTAAATTAACACTGCTGCTGCTCTTTTTTTCTGTTGTTGTTTGTTATTAAGCACAAAGCTACATAAAGGGCTATATGCACTCTGCCCACCACAGGTATCAAAACACAGTTTCTAGCAGTTTAAGTCTGCAGACATACCACTGTACCACTGGGGAGTACTTTTTGGTATATTTTCAAAGTAAACTATCATACATCAATATGTATGTATGTATGTATGTATGTATGTGGGTATATATATATATATATATACATACACCATAGAAGAAACAGCAGAGTCCATCCTCCACGATTTAACATTTAATGGAGGGTTTTCAATCATGTTCAAGTATGCATTGAGTGAGATACATAAAATTATCATAAACAATGATTCTAACCTTTCTAAATCTATTATTGAGAAATGTTTTTACAGTCGTAAGGTATAAAATAATGCACTAATCATGCTGTGAAGTATTTCACAAACTTATGTACATGTTGGGCATTTGAAAATGCTAGAATTCTTAGGCATCCTTTATTCAGAGCATGAAAATCTGTGCTGTGACACAGTTACAAAAATTACAAGGAAGAAGGAAAGCTGTAGCTCAGTTTTTAGTAAATCTGGAATACAAGAAGATGACAAGGTATTTAGACTTGTTTGCAAGTTTCTTCAGGCAAAAATATTAAATGCATTTGGCTACCTTACATGACAGGTAGTTATAGGTGATGAAATACCACACCATGGTTAGACATCTAACAATCTTGGTGCCAAATTCATTAGAGGAAAAACAGCTGAATAAATTACAAAGAGGCTCCCTATCATCACTGTGCCAAAGCACTGAATGAGTCCTTCATTTAGAACCTAGGTGAAATTATTGGGCTCTGAAGGCCTGAAAAGTATCTGTTATCATTAAAACATATATTACAAAAAACAGAAAAGGCTTGAAAATCTTGTCAGAGAAGGTTAAAGCCAGTCAGAAAGTTATGTATGAAAAGAGGAAAGAAAGAGAGCAACTTCTTCGAAGTTTGGTGTGCTACGAGATAAAACCAGCAACAGTTTGTAGAGTAACAATGAAGAATATATTGCGTTCTAAACTAAACAATGCATCAGTTAAATATGGAAAGATTTAAGAAGCTTTAGTAGTCAATGACTATGAAGAAAAGTATCACACAAAACTTTTTCAAATGTGATCAATTTGTTGAGTCAAACTAAAGTTTTTCAGCTGCAAGTCCTGATAGCTTGATAAACAGTGATGGAATCATTAAAGTAAATATGCCCAGAACTGTAGGAAATGCAACTCCTCTAGAAGTCACAATGACACCAAATCAGTTTTGTTGTACTACTAAAGATGGAGGACTTCAAATGAAGAAAACTTGCCACTACTATTACCTGGTACAAGGTCAGCTTCATGATACAGGGAAACAGTACAAAACATTTAATATACGGACTCCAAAAAAACTGAAAATAGAGAGGATATAAAGTACTGATTACTCTTGGTAAATTACTTTCTTCCAAACTCCAGTAGTTCTGTTTCCAAGTTCATAACAAGAGCATTCACCACCATGGGCACCCAAGATCCCCAAACTATTCTTTATGCTATTGCTGTTGAAGCAAATAAG